GAAATGGATCAGCAGCAGCAGCACAGCCTCAGACTTTCACTTTACCCATTCAATCATGTATTTTTAAACGCTAAGGTTAGGTTAGGTTAGGCGGTCAGTACTCGTTAATTTAGCTGAATCTAATTCAGTGTAGCTGGGTTTATTCAACTGGTAGTTTTACTCAGTTACTGGTACATGACAATAGATATTTCAGACACAGAAATCAGCATTACATGCTCGGCGTCAGTCAGGATTACATTAACTGCCAAGTTTAACTACTTATAGCAAGGTAGTTGCAAAAACAGCAACTGCCTAATTACAAATGTTAGTAGGTTAGTATTAGCTGCTTCTGACATTCACAAATAATAATGTTATAGTGAGATTAACATTCAGACATTAAGTGTCTCAGCCCAGCATTTGCTGGTCATTTCACACATTAGGAATCGAGCATTAGCAAGCTGATAACCTTCAGCTCCACACTTCTCTCATCAGAAAATAAGAGGTGCATATATTTCAAGTTAACATCAGAAGTGAGGATGCTGACATTAAAACATTGACGTTGCCCAGGTACAACTAATCTGAAGCAGCTACTAGCTGAAAATATCCTCCTCCATGAAAATAACTTGTAATATCCAGCATAGTCAGTCACCTTCTCACATAATGTTTTTCTTTATTTCCATCACCATCAACAATATCAATGAACACATTATGTGGGAATTATGTAGTAAACACAAAAGTGTAAAATAAAATAACTCAAATCATGATTTATATTTTAGATTCTTTGTAACAGCCCCCTTTACTTTGATCCCTGCTTTGCTCGCTCTTCTTCTCCATCAGCTCCGTGAGGTCGTCTCCTGAAATGGTTTCCAACAGCCTGGACGGAGTTCCCAGAGATGCTGAGCACTTGTTGGTCCTTTAACTTCACTCTGCGCTCCATCTCATCCCAAACCATCTCCACTGGGTTCAGGTCAGGTGACTGTGGAGGCCATAGCTAACATAGATAATATTTGAACAAAGAAGCTAATGTTAGCAGCCAGTCATCAGACACAGAGGCTAGAATTCATTTCAAAGCTTTCGATGTACGGTCAACAGTAGCAACCGGTTTCAGATATTTAAAAAGTTTCAGATATTAAAAAGTAGCTCACTTCAGGAGGGAGTCCGCGCCTTGACCACCCGATCACCATCAGCTGATCATTGATCATGATTGAAGTAGCAACAGGAGAGGGAGGGGGGAGAATGAGAGGCGAAGAGGCAGCTGGGCAGCAAAGACACAGAATAACTGCAGCTTTGTGTCTTTGTTTCATTCCAGCTGAAGTCCAGCACGAATCGCTTCCCTTTCACCTACATACGGATGTGTTGTGATTGGTCCAGCCCAGAGTTGATCATGACCAGTTGGCTAATCCACCACATTTCATTGTTTATACAAAAACAAACAAAGATAAAAATGAAAAATCACCATCGTTGATGATGAACCTCTTAACCTGAACACCTCGTTACCCCGAGGAGCTGCTCAGTGTTCGCTGAAGGAGAAGGTGACCTGTGTGACGCTGGAACAACCTGACTGGATCCTGGTTCGTCCGATTAAAGCTAACAGAGTCCAAACCAGAGGAAAACGTCTCTTTGTTTGCGGTGCTTACACTTGTTGGTGGAATATTCACTGCTGTTCTGTGAGAACCTTTTCATACTTGAATAAGCAGCCCGTGTGTCTTATCCCTCTAACAAGCTCACACTCTGGTCCTTCCTACGTTTCAGTGCTCTGCAAACCTCACATGGGCTACGTTTGCACCTGGCAGTGAATGTTTGTGTGTTCTTTGTCTCTTTGCGTTTTGTCTCTGTCGTTTTTCTGTTGCAGTCTTCGGGTATGTCATGGTCCGGGTCTGTGGCTGGAACTTTCCATCAAGCTCCCGAGCCTACCTGGTATCCGTCCCTGGGCGGGGCCACGTCCTCCTCCACTTCCTCACAGCTGGAGCTGATGGCAGGCCATCAAGAGAGTGATTTAAGCCTCATGCTGACATTTGTCTCTCCATTTGGGAAATCACTCTGTGTCTCACCTGCCTGCCGTCCTGCAGGAACGTCCGGATCGCAGGAACGTCCGGATCGCAGGTCAGCCTTTCCACACCGCTCAGCTCACTCCGGATCACGTCACCCCTCTCCCATCATTTCCTCCTCCTGCAATGTGACTCCTTAACTGTCCCGTTCCAGTCTGCATCTCTGCGCCCGTTCCCTGTTTTTAGATCCATGTCCACCGAGCCACGTTACCCAGGCCACAACAAGCTCTATGTTTTGTTGCCACGATTTCCAGTTTAACTAATAAATATATTGTAAACCTACCTGCTGAGTCCAGTTTTGTACTGACCTGTCAGTCCTGTGACAAAGTATCTTTATTTTCATTTAAAAGGCTTCATATGGCAAAATTAGTCCTCAGTTTAGATCACAAAATCCTTAACTGGTAACTGCCTGAATTACAACATGAAATAAGTATTTCTTAAACCACTGGAAGCTCCTCCTGTGCCGTCACTAACCACGTCTCCTCTAACAGTAGATCTGTGAGCAGCAGTGATGAACTGCCTATATGTAAGGACGTGTTTCATGAGGCCTGGAGCCTCCTGCAGTCATTTATGTGTTTAATTTAGTACATTTTACTAAACCAATAAATCTTCCCAGTCTTCCGTTGTTGTTGTGATTTATAGTTTCCTCAGTCCCGGTTAACTTCCTGTGAAGAAGCTTGTTTTTAGCCGACGGACGGCCCAGCCAGGCAAACACGGGAACTCTCACTACGCTCGCTCACATCTGTGACTAAAAATAGAATTACAATAGAAACACATTCAAGATCACAGCTGTGAATAAAGTACCGCAGTGTGAGTCTGTTTCAGCCACAGACGATGAGTCCTGCACACCATCGACCTGCTGAGGCTTTCACACCACTGACAACAGCTGCGTCACTTCAGGCACCTTTAATGTGAAGACGAGTGAGGGCTGCTTCACATCTGAGCTTAACTGTGATTGGTGGAAACACAAACATGTAATCCTCCACAGGAAGATGTTTAACAAGAAACAAGCACGTGTGAAACAGCAGCAACTAAACCAGTTTGTCCTTACAGGGAGGGGCCACGACTGGTTGGGGTGAGGGGGAGGAAGACAGGAAAAAGACACGCTGTGGAAGAGAGCCGGAGCTTAACAACTAATGATTAAGTACTGAAAGGTGAGTGAAGCAGAAACACCCAGTGCATCATGGGAATCAGCAGCCTACATCTATTGCAGCATAACTAAGGGAGGATCCAGGGTCACCTGGTCCAGCCCTAACTATATGCTTTAGCAAAAAGGAAAGTTTGAAGCCTAATCTTGAAAGTAGAGATAGTGTCTGTCTCCTGAATCCAAACTGGAAGCTGGTTCCACAGAAGAGGGGCCTGAAAACTGAAGGCTCTGCCTCCCATTCTACTTTTAAATACTCTAGGAACAACAAGTAGGCCTGCAGAGCGAGAGCGAAGTGCTCTAATAGGGTGATATGGTACTACAAGGTCATTAAGATAAGATGGGGCCTGATTATTTAAGACCTTGTATGTGAGGAGCAGGATTTTGATTCTGGATTTAACAGGAAGCCAAAACAGGAGAAATCTGCTCTCTCTTTCTAGTCCCTGTCAGGACTCTTGCTGCAGCATTTTGGATCAGCTGAAGGCTTTTCAGGGAGTTTTTAGGACTTCCTGATAATAATGAATTACAGTCGTCCAGCCTGGAAGTAATAAATGCATGAACTAGTTTTTCAGCGTCACTCTGAGACAGGATATTTCTAACTTTAGAGATGTTGCACAAATGGAAGAACGCAGTCTTACATATTTGTTTAATATGTGCGTTGAAGGACATGTCCTGGTCAAAACATGGATCTCTCCATTTACATGCACAAACTGGAGTCTATTAGATAGATATGACACAAACCACTGCAGCACAGTACCTGTAATACCTACACCTACTACTAATACCTACTACACACTGCCCTGTCACACCTGGAGAAGAGAGACACGTATGTGAGAATGCTGTTTGTAGATTACAGCTCAGCATTCAATACCATCGTTCCCTCGAAGCTGGACAGGAAACTGCAGGTATCTGGTTAGATACCATATTTCTAAGCTTTTCAGGGCCGAGTACAATAACCTCAGTTTTATCTGAATTAAGAAGCAGAAAGTTAGCGGCCATCCAGGTCTTTATGTCTTTAAGACATTCCTGCAGTAGATTCCAGCACTGCTTCCATCTGTCACTGGATGACCTGAAAAAGCAGGAAAAACTCACCAAGATTGAGACTCATGACACTCTTCAGGTGTACAGTTCAGTAAGGCAGATTTTACCTTCTGGAATCAACAAGTCAAAAAGCAAAATGTTGAAAAAAAATGTTAATAATATTTAGGTGCAACCAAATTTTCATGAAAATTGATCCAGACAAACAGGAAGTGTCTATAAAGAGCAACAATACACAACTTACACAATGTGCTGTCACCGAAATAACTTCTTACATTAGAAGTTAACTGACATTAGTCTTAACTGACCTCCAGGTCAAGCTAGGACAATGATGGACGACTGACAGCTGCATTACTAAACTCTGCTACCAAACCATGAAGCAGCAGAAAGGTTCTGATCCACAGGATGAGCCCCAGGAGCTCCGCTGACTCCTGAGATATGAAGCGTGGATTTGTTGGGGTGTTGTAGCAGCCGGCCGGTGGGAGGGGGGCTTTGACTGACAGGAACAGCCTCTGCCTCCTTTTGCTCAGCAGTTCTCAGTGACTCTGGGTCTGCAGATGAACTTGTTCTCTGCGATTCCTTTAAAACACGGAGGTTCAGGTGTGTGTGAACGAGCTGCCGTCACACACTCTTAGCCTGATCCGAATCAGAGGATCGGGGTGGGCAGCCTCACAGGCTGCAGGGTGCATAAATGGCTGCTATGTCCCATCATGCCCCCCGAGTGTTTCAGCAGCCAATGGGGAGCGTCGGTGCTCTGATGATGCAGGTTGTCCCCCTGGTATAAAACCCTAAAGCACCATCTGGGCCCTCCTGAGCAGTTTGAGCATTCCCAACCTCGCCTCGGGTGGAGGGATTGCGAGGAGGGAAAGCAAAACTACACGGCCTCTATTCTGTGTAGTTTTGTTTTTTTTCGGGGGATATTTCGAGGCTCGACCGTTCTCATCTTGGATTTTTCTGGAAAAACCTTCCTGGATAAGGAGACCGTTGCTCGTTGCTCTGACGGGCTCCGTCCCATCATTTCAGGCACTCTTGTGATACAAGTGAGTACTCGCCGGTCCCCTAATGATGCTGACTCGTGGGGTTTACGGGGATTGGGGGGTCAGGGCTCGGGGTTTGGGTGAACTGTGTTTGGGTTTTGTGTTGGTTTGATGTTTTTCGGGTGCAGATTGCAGGTTGGCCGTATTCAGCGGGCTGTGCACTGACCCCAGGAAGGCCAAGAATAGCTGCTGATAGCATGAGAGTGGACTGTCAGCTGGGCGGCTGATGGCTTTTTAAGGGAATCAGCAGCAGGGCTATCACTTCACCCCCAGCTATGCGCCACATGCTGTCTGTCAATCAAGCTGCTCGAGGTTGGGGAGGGGGTGGTGGATATTTTTGCTCACTGCCTTATCTGTCGCTCAGCTCGATCTGTAAATATGGGCTGAGTTTATCAGGTCTGATCCTGTTTGGCTTATGATGAAGCGAAGTGTTCGTATTGATTGTTGATAAGGCTGCGCTCAGCTGATCAGGTGCTGAAAGTTCACAGAGAAGGTGAGAGACTCACAACTCTGCCTGAAATCAGCTGACAGCGCTGAAAAAGAGCAGCAGCTGTCCCAGCGAGGCGTTCAGTGTCACAGTCAGAGAGCAGGAACAAATCAATCACCAGTAACTGATTATTGATCACCAGCTCCTTAAAGAGGTGTGAGAATGGTTCAGCCTGTTTCCACAGACTTCAGATTCACAGCACTGGAGGATTTTCAGTCTTACTTTAAGGAGCTTCACACTCGTCCTCAGACTCCAGCTGTACGTTTTTACAGGGTTTCTGTGATCGAGCGTCCAAAGTCAATAAATGCGACGTCACACTCGAGATGTTAACCATGTGACAGTAAAGGTTTTTAGATAACTGTCTGACAGCAGAAACAGCTGCACGCTAGACTGCAGCCAGCGTTAAACCAGGATTACTGCAGCTGCATCGTGGACACAAAAGGAACGACGTTTAAACGGCTTCATGTTTGTTCGTGTCTTTGATCTGATTGTCACATTTACATGAAGTGTCATTAAGCTGCTTTTACAGGTGAAAGATTTCATTTATTCCTGTCATTATAAAGTTTCAATGGGAGTTGTCTTTGAATCAAAGCTTTATTGACTGTTTGATTCTCAGATAAGTATGGAAGCCTGTTTGTGCCAAAAAAGTATAAAAATTACTTTATGTTACCAGAGCTTTAGTCTCATAATATCAATAAACTGACTAATTTCATCACACTTATAATTATAACCAACACGTATGTGGTTCCATTTTATGATGAGAAAATTGAGGTTTTAAATTTTAAATTCATAAAATTGTAACAAAATAAAAAAAACAAAACAAAAGATGTTTTTAATTAATTACAGCAGAAAAAGGTTTTGAAAGCACAACATCTTTGTTTCTGTTTTTTACAAAACCACAGCGAATAATCAACAATCAGAACCATTTAATTTAACGCTTCAATAATATGTAACGTGGTTATTTGTCAGCAACATGAAACCAGAGTGCAGAGAGAAAGAAACTTGAAATAAGAACATGAGTGGAGACAAACGTGGAAAACCCACAGTGACTCGTCTGAAAAGATTTCACAGCAAAATCAAAGATTTGTGTTAATCAACATTTCAGTCCAAATTCTGCCACGAAGAAATTTTAGAACAAAATCAACATAAACACAGAATCATGTCTAAATAACCATGTGGTGGATAAAAACACTCCACAGCACATTTCACCTGTAAGAGTTTGTGTCACATGAAGTGGAAACAACAACGAGCTCCATTTATTTAAAGATCACGAACCTGTGAGAAGATCCACTGCATCACTGCACTGACTAATAACATGCGTCGTTGTTATTATTATTATTGTTATTATTATGGTTTTTAGTCTGCAGTAAAATCAGGAACCAAAGAGTTAAAACAGCAGACTCAGCTTTAGATCTGACTCTGATGATTGATGGTTATAATTACTTGGAAACAGCTAATTAAATGTTGAAGATGATGGATGAGTTTACAGTATGAAGCACCTTCAGCTGAATGCTGTTGTGATTGGTGCTGTATAAATAAAGTTGAATTGAATTTGTTTATATCAATGAAGACAAACTGGTCCACGTCCACACTGAGGTCACAGCAGTGTGGACATGATCAGTGTTTGGTCAGTGGACCTTTAACAGTTCACACCAGAACACATTTGAGTTTTTCGTTAGACTTTGTATTTTCAGGGAAACTTTTATTTCTATTTAAAATCAGTTTGTTTTTTTCCAGCATGCTAATCAGAGTCATGTTGTTCATCTCTGTGTCAGCGGCAGCATGAATGTTCTTTGTAAAAGTGCAAACCTGCAGCTGCTGCCGCCCGTCAGACATTTATAGCCGCCGTCCGTCTCACCTGTCTCACAGCTCTGAAACTCAAACCTCTGAGTGAAGCTGCAGAGACACTCAGCACATTTCCATCCAGCTGCTTTTAACTACATGTAAATGTGTCCCTCAACACAAACCCGAGTAGAGTTAATCACTTCATCAATTAGTCAAATGCATCCTGTGTTCCTACCAACCCAGGCAAGCACGACATGCAGGTGCAACTCTGAATGCAGAGCTCAGAGTTTGGGTCACCTCAGTGTAAAAACTGAATTTCTTCTTCTGCTCTGTTATTTACAGCAGCTTAGGATAAACTATACTATAGTTTATCCTAAGCTGTTTATCAGCACGGGGACTCCCAGTTTGTGCAGTGTTTAGATCATAATAGTCAGTTAATGCTGCCGCTGATGAGCCTTTGAAACCCTTTGTCAGCGTCTCTGATCGTTTGAACACTGCTGTGAGCGCGCAGCTTGTTCATCGGCGTGCTCACGCAGACGTTACTTAGTTATCATTAAACCAGTTTCACTGTTAAGAGGAAGCAGCTCTGCCTGACTGTTACATCATCCTGCTGAAGGACTGATGAGGCGTCCTCACAGGAGTCACTTCAGCCACATGATTGGTCAGTGACTCTTTCACACAGTGGTTATCTAACACGTCTCCACCCAGAGTGTGCTGCATGAGTCGCAGTAGCTGCTGCGTCGGTGACCGTCTCGATGGGCTTTCACAGGTTCTCGTTTCCTTTGTGGTTCTAACGTGACAGAGCTTTCTCGCCCTGTGACACAGACGGGCTCTGTGGACCGATGGACGGAGCTGAAAGTGTACGAATGTTCTTCAACCTTTACAAACAACGACTAACATCAGAAAAGTGTTTCTGTTATATGTTGGTTACATCTATAAACACAGGATCCACAGCACCATCCCAGCGGGGGATCAGCTACACCTTAGCATCGTCACAAAGCTATGACATCACAACAACACGGCCAATCAAAGGACTGAGAGAACAGAGAATATAACAGCCAACATACCCAAGTGCACGTCACAACCATTTACTCACCTGTGGACTGTCCAGTGTGAAGAATAAAGAAATCTAAAGGTTTAAACAAACAATCTGGATATTCACATGTAGGACATCAGAGACATTTGTACATTATCAGGAAAGAAATGTATCACACAGCAAGAAAAGCAGCAGAAAAACACGTGTTTGTGATTTAAAGCAGAGAATGGAAGCTGATTGGTTCACAGAAGGCAGGCAGCGTGATGATGTCAGCATCAGCGTGGGAAACAGGAAGTGATATAAAGAATAGGATGAGCGATCAGCACTAGAAGAAAGAAATGACTGAATGAATCATTTATTTTATCTCAATGAAAGTAAAATTTGACAAAACGAGTATTTAACATAAAACTTGTTTTATTAGTTTTAAATTTGATCGCAGACGATAAAGTTAAAATACGGATTCGAATAAACTAGTAAACACAGGTTGCAACAAATAACACAGCAGCTAAACTGAAACTGAATCATTGAAGTTTTCTGGAGAAACAACATTATGAGAAGAAGCATCCACAATGCTCCACCTCCGTCTGCAGCTTCGCCTCCATCTGCTGCTCCACCACCTCGGCTCCCCTGCTCCAGCCTGAGGCCGTCCGATTGGCTGTTCTGCTCTCTCGTCTCTCTGTATTTGCTCAGATTAGGTTCCACTCTGGTTCCTCCGCTGCTCTGCACGCCCAGCTACACCCAGCTACACCCACAGTTCTCCACACCTTTTGACCCAGTCTGCATCCTCAGCCTGGCAGCACTTATTCATCTTTCATCTCACTGCATTGATCTCATGCAGCCATAAAATCTACATATTTGTAAAAACATGTTGTAATCTCGTTTTTGTCCTGCAATGACTGAAACAATAAAGTGAAAATCTGATGATTTTTTCATTCGTATTAAAAAGGCTGCAGGTTTGTTTGTATCTGCAGCTGTTAGTGGCTGCTCTACTCCTGCACTGGTTTAGTGGCAGCAGGTGGAGAATTAGCTCCACCTGCTGCTGATCTGTCAGTTTCTCTGCTAATGAAACCAAAGCCTGCTGCTGTTTTCTTTATTCTGGGCTGATCACCTCGTTTGTGTTCCAGGGTGCCGATCATCATGTCAACTCAAGCGCCGACGTTCACGCAGCCGCTACAGAGCGTCGTGGCACTGGAGGGTAGTGCCGCCACGTTCGAGGCTCAAGTTAGTGGTAAGAGAAACGTGTGAAGGTGACGTTCTGCAGAGGACGATGTTTGACACTGTTGTATTTACACTGGAGATACAAAGAATGAGCAGATGTTTGACTTCATTAGTTAGAAAGGAGAGAAATAATGTTAAAGTTCATATAAAAACGATTAGACATTGAAGCCATGCAGCTGGTACAGAGGTTCACTGCAGACTGTGCAACATTCATATCTGGACTCTTTGTATTTATAGAGAGAAATGATGGACTTTTGAGGGGTAAATGTTCTCGTCACCTTTCTTTCTTTTCTCGTGGCGAGCGAGGCTTTTACAGGCTGCTGCTGCTTTCAGGGACATTCTGACATTTGGAAGGTTGGAGTCAATGCCTGTGATAAAAATAAAGCTGACAGAATTTCAGCAGATGCCTTTCCCTTTCAGGAACTCAGGGGAAGCATGTGCCAACATTTACACAGACAGCTCCTGATTGGCTCTTCAGCCTTTCTCCCTCAGTTTTCTGTTTTAAGTCCAAACAGTCCAAACCACAGGGAGCTGAGATGGTTGCTGCATTGCTGCTTGCTATTGGTGGCAGTGTTTGAGGGGAGAACAGTCTGCTTCTTGTTGCTTTGACCCAATGATTGCTTGACTTAAAAGGAGAAATGTCATTTGTTCTAAGTTTAACCAGTGAGTATAAGAGCAGCCGTCCTTTATTCTCCTGACAGACTGGTGCAATCAGTCACACAGGGACGGCTCTGCAGGTCGAGCTAGGTAACGATGAAGCCACATGAAGGAAACATTTGAAGCTTCTGAAGTTTAGTCTTGATTCTTTCATGATTAACCAGGTAAAACAAACCTGATAGTGACGTTTTTCTGCTCTGACTTCATCTCACTGACGGTCTCATGATTCAAAAGAATTACTCTTTGTTGTATTGATCTTAGTTCTTATTTCCTTTAAAGCTCTCGTATATTTTAAACAGTAATTGTATTTTTAAATCCATCCACCCAGTTTTAAAATGTTTAATTTCTACTTTGGCTAAATAAATGTCACATTTTCAGTTTCTATATTTTTAAACAATTTGAAAACCTCACGTGAACAACGTTAATCTTAAAGATGATTTTTTTTAATTTCAAATAAAAAGTTGAACATGAAAATTTGCTAAACTCTTAATAAAGTTTCTCCCACTCGTTCGTCGTTTGCTTTTCCTTTCACATTTTTGTTTCACGCATTAAAATCTCACTGTTTTACTGAAAGCACTGACTTTGTGGCTCAGGTCTTAGTCCCGGATCCTTTGGTGCATGTTGGTTTGTGGGTTCTCCGACAGAGTCTCATGCATCTCTTTGCAGGTTCTCCAGTTCCTGAGGTGAGCTGGTTCCGTGATGGCCAGGTACTTTCTGCTGCCGCTCTGCCCGGCGTTCAGATCTCGTTCAGCGATGGCCGCGCTGTTCTGAGGATTCCTGCTGTGACCGCCGCGCACAGCGGACGATTTTCTGTCAGAGCCACCAACGGTGCTGGACAAGCCACAAGCACAGCCGAACTCTTAGTTACAGGTGAGCTCACAGGAGGACTTCAGGTGGTAAACTAAAGCACTTCTGCTCCATGAACAATTCCCATACAGTTCTTTTCAAAAAAGCTGCTACGAACAGCAAATTTTAATGTTTTAATTTTGATATTTATAGATTGTAAAGAAGGTTCGTTTGTGTATATGTTATCATTTAGCTGCCATCCAGAGTTCTCAAAGGATAAACAGCAGTGGATAACGGTCGGCAGACGTTGCAACATCATGAGCTGATTTTTAACACCCGTCTGAATCAAACTGAAAACAAACTGCTATTAAAAATTCAGTTTTCTAAAAAGTCATAAACTGGCTTTATTTTATTGTGTACTTGCACAACGAAATGCTGAGATCAGCTGATATAAAGCGACCTGTACCTCCTTCTCCAGCGGAGACGGTGCCTCCGAGCTTCATTCAGAGACTACAGAGCTCCACGGTGAGACAGGGCAGCCAGGTGAGGCTGGATGTTCGAGTCACCGGGATCCCCGCACCTGTGGTAAAATTCTACAGAGAAGGGGCCGAGATCCAGAGCTCCACCGACTTCAGAATCATCCAGGATGGAGACCTGCACAGCTTGCTGATTGCTGAAGCCTTCCCAGAGGATTCTGGGACGTATTCGGTGACAGCCACCAACAGCAGCGGACGGGCCACCTCCACAGCCGAACTGCTGGTTCAGGGTAAGAACTGTTCGTCTCTGCTTCTTCTTCCTTTTGGAAATTGCTTTGATGACAAACACAGACTAAAGAAGAGACATTTTCAGGCGAAGAAGCCGTTCCAGCAAAGAAAACAAAGACCTTGATTTCAACCGCCCAGATTTCAGAGACCCGACACACCAGAGTAGAAAAGGTAAAAAAATCCTCAAAGAAATGTGTGATTGTCTAATTTACTCATACTTAATCTAACTTCATGAACTCTGCTGTCCGTCCCCAGAAGATGGAGGCCAGTTTCCAGGCCTCCGCCATGATGGAGATGCAGATAGAGGGCGCAGAGCTGGCTCACAAGACTCCACCCAGAGTTCCTCCGAAACCCACATCCAAGTCACCAACTCAGCCATCACTGGTGGCCAAGGTGACCGGGGGACGGCAACAGTCACCGTCACCTGTCAGACATGTGAAGGCACCCACACCCACGCCTGTCAGGTGGGTAGAGTCTGGGAGGGGTTAACGCTGGCTGTTATTTGCCTGTTCGTAACTTTTACATGGAAAGAAGTCAGCGAATGATTACTGACAGAGATCTGCTGATCGGTGTGCTCGATGAATAAACCAATCAGGGCAGCTGTGTAACTCTCAGTCTCACCTTTCAGGGCAGTCCCGTCCCCTATCGCCGCACACAAGCAGGCCGCCGGTGACGTCCTCCCGCCCTGGAAGCAGGAAGACTACGTGGCCGAGGGCAGGACTGTCACTCAGTTGGTCCGGGAGCAGCAGGTCACCATGGTCAAACAGGTGAGCATCCCTGGGGTAGCACGACATATTCCTATCCACAGATAAACCATTCCAGGAGACACTTCACAAAAAATGGACATTTTCAATGAAACGTGAGGTTCCCAGATTCCTGAGTCTCTCTTCTTCGGGTTCAGCTGCGTTACCATCAGCTCCCTGACTGTGTTTGGTCATGAAATATTACTTCCACTTCTCTATTTGTGACGTTCATGTCTCACAGCCTCTGCGGTGGATTTCAGGTCCTTGTTTAAAGGTATTACGGGTTTACTCTGAAAAACAGAACCTGCCATCCACCTTCCTCCACCTTACAGCCAATTCTTTTCCATGTGTTCCTTGTTCTAATGTGCCTGATTGTTTGCCCTGCTCATATTCACATCATTGGCACAGCATCACACAGCAGTCTGAACATTTGGTCTTTGAAATGAAAAGAGAATCATCTGAAGCTGATGATGTGAGTTTTACCCTGGATGATGAGGGATGGGACATCTCTGCAGGCTGGGCGGGACTGTAACTTCTTTCAGCCCCACACAGATTCATACGGTGAGGGGGGGAAACATGTGAAAACTTTAAAAACCAAGAAGCAACATCTTTACTCACAGAAGAGGAGGAAAATACACCCTCAAAGAGCTGTGTCCTCTGTGTTTAACCACAAGACTTTAGCACCTGTTTCCAGTAGAGAGCAAGCCTGGCTCGGTTCAGCTGACGATGCTGTCAGAATACCTGATGTCCTCCTGATACCACATCCTCCTGATGTGTCTGAGATCGCTTCAGCTTAACTCAGAAGACTGGTCTTATTGTTTTATTGTATCGCCACAAGATTGTGGCTGTCACTTTTCTTTGCAGCTAACGTTACTGCTGACAAACGGATGAACCAACGTGCTGTCTTCAAATGACTTTAAACCTTTAAGCTTGCATGGGTCAGGCTTTAAAAACCGTAGTACCTTATTATCTCATTTGGATAACTGGAGTCAGGCTAAGCTTTGCAAAAAACTGGAAGCTGGGGAGACAGCTAATCTGGCTCTGCCCGTAATCCAAGATCTACCTCTGAAACTCATTCAATAGCCTCTTATTTATTGGACAACCATCCAGCCCAGAGTTTTAGACCTGCGTTAACAGAGTCCAGCTAACTAAACCCAGTCTATATGCAAATTTGGGTAAATCAGGTCTTTCTCCCAGCTCTGTATTTTTCTTTGAATGAGGGGATGGAGATACTTACCAAAGTGATTTCCCCCATGAACCTGTCTGTTTCTGTACCGCTGTGCTGGATGTCCTGAGATCTGTTGTGTCTCCAGGCTGAGGGAGGGAAAAGAGCGGGGGCAGTGGCCACCGTGGTGGCTGCCGTCGACCTCGCTCGTGTCCGTCAGCCCGCGCTTGTCGAGGGGGGTCGAGCTGAAGAGGACGAGGCTGTAGAGGTGGACTTAAGGCAGCAGGCCGCCGCCGTGGCTGCTGATCAAAGCTATCAAGCTGCTTTGACATCAACAAGAGTGCAAAGTGGGCACATGCTTTCTACTGCTCAGGAGTTTACACGTGAAGCAGCCGTGCTGCAGCCTCAGGTTAGCTAGGCCTCCAGTGAACAACGATTACCAAGAGATTTGACCAAACTATCAGCAGATTTGAATTCTTTCATTTATTTTTTATTTTGGTATTTTACTCACCCCCCTTTGCTGAAGAGAACAGATGGATGTTTTATTTTCCATCAAAATGAAAAAGTTACAAAAAATGATTTTGCACAATTACAAAAAGAGTATCTCAGAAAAAACAGTCCATATGTCCGATCAATTATTTAATTATGTATGAAATGTGTCTTTGGGCAAAGTCTTGTTTGAATTATTTGGTGAATAATGACCGATTCATCTCTGTGAAGTCACCTCGTAGTAAAAAAGACATTTGAAGCACAAATCTCTTGATAATCACATAGTCATCTTCTAAATATACTGTGCAGATTTTAAAATCCTCCTGAGGTTCTGACTCTTGTTGTGTTGGTTGCTCCAGATTCAGGGAGTGACAGAAATCTCCTCCCGTGTGGACACTGGTCTCACCCCGTCTCCAGTTCCACAATTCACAGTTTCTAAAGTGTCTGTCCCAAAACTCGAGTCTAGCAGTGAGGTAAGACAGGAAGCATCAGGCGAGCTGTGGACAATAATAATGTGATAGGACCGTTGCTGTGGCAAGCTTATTGAACTGCTGATTGGCTGAAATGCAAACTTGTGTTTTAATGCAGTGTCAACGTGATCAAATATTATCCATAAAATAACTAAATCAATCCTCCCTTAACCTTCTTTTGCTTCATCCCCTTATTTAATAAACTTGATTGATCCGGTACCTCCTATTAATCCATCTTAATTAAAGTCCCTCTATCTGACCCTGTTGTAGCATTAATCAGACTAACGTGCCATAGCTCCTCTGTGCTGTGGTTTAACACACATTTCAGAAAAGACTCAACAGTATTTTCTTGATGACGGTGTGGCTCTTCCTCTTTGGGTCGGTCAGGTTTCCATCGCCGGCTCGGCCATGGCCACTCTGCACAAAGAGTTATCCTCGTCTTCTGCCACTATTCGAAAGATCATCAAGCCTGTCAAGTCTCCCAGTCCATCTCGCAGAGTAGCAGAGACCAGAGAGCTGCTGGAGACCATCCCACCACCGTTCAAACACTTCACTGACAAATATCAGAGTCGTTCTGGCTCTGAGTTACAGACCGGGGTGGTGTACTCAGGCAGAATGGAGAGAATGTATGAGGACTGGGGAGCCCAGGTTTGTAATGTAGCTCAGAGAGCTGGGTCTAAACAGGACAAGAAAACCTGATGTGGATGTAAGATCCATACGATCCGTTAGCTGCCAACAGCTGGCCAAAGTATTGTGAATTTTATCAGATATTTTCAAGATGATAAATTCTAATATGAGCTGCCTGATTAGATCCTCGTTCACAGGCTGAAAAACCTCTATTTGAACCCTGGAAAAATCTGATTGAAAGGGCAGAAGTTACCCCGGGTTTGAATGCTCCTGATTTCATTGACATTTTCACCATTTATTAGACTAAAGAACAGCTGACGAAAAATGTTGTGGGACACAGGTCATACTTCTGGTTTTTACAACTTCTCTTGATGGTTTTCTTGATTTCTGTGAAAATCCATAATTAAATATCCCTGTAATAAACTTTAACTGGCTTCTCCATGCTATTGACAACCTCATTCTCACCTCTGCAGCCCATCCAGCCTTCCCTCCATCATATGTGCTGTGTTATCTCTTCTTCATCGTGTGTGTGTGTTGGTTGTTTCTGTCACTGTGTCCATGTGTGGGATCTTAGAAATAGCTGCTGTAGTTTTTCGGCCTAATGTTCCCAACATACCTGTGAATATCTTACAGGTGGTGGAGGCAGCTGCGGTGCCTTCTGCCGGTGGTGCCGTGGTCCCTCCCACGCTGATTTCTGTGAGTGGACTGCCCTCAGATCACATGTCCACACTGTTTAGGGAAAGAAACCTTTTTGTAAAGGTGTTGTGATATTTTTTTGTGCAGGGATTGAAGAACACAAATGTGATCGAGGGCGAGTCTGTGACCCTGGAGTGCCAGATCAGCGGTCATCCCACCCCCATCATTATGTGGTTCAGAGAGGACTACAAGATTGAGAGCTCCATTGATTTCCAGATCACCTACGAGAACGGATTTGCCAGACTGGTGATCCGTGAAGCATTCGCTGAAGACAGCGGCCGCTTCACCTGCACAGCTACCAATGAGGCGGGAACTGTCAGCACGTCCTGTTACCTGCTTGTCCAGGGTCAGTGTAAGCAGAATGCAGTGTCACTCACACAGGAAGTAATCTTCTTTCGTAGTATGCTGTAACATACTGAGGAACGATGCCCAGCGTGTCCAGCAGATATCAGGATAACTTTAATTTGAGCCCTTTTTTCCTCAGAGACTGTTCACATGCATGCACCGAGCCCTGTTCTTGATACACACAGGACCTGAAATCTTCCCGTAACATAATCTCATCCCTTCCCATCTATACGTTCTGCATATTCATGCGTTTACAGTGATGAACTGTCTTTCCCCACCAGTGTCTGAAGACATCGAGAGCAGAGAGGAGATTGCTGTTGTTACAGAACATGTTGAAACTGCTCAGTGAGTCACTTAAAGTTTGAGTTACATTCATCAAATCGTCAAACATATTGGTTTCTTATTTTACATCACTGAAACGGATGACAAGCGGTACAGGTTGGGCCTGAAAATAAGGAAACATTTTTATTTCCAGATTAAGAGAAACCAGAGAGGAGACCCAGGTGAGCATGGTGGAGTCAGAGTCTGCTGCTGCTGCTCCCTTCTTTATCAAGAAACCCACCATCCAGAAGCTAGTGGAGGGTGGAAGTGTTGTGTTTGAATGTCAGATTGGGGGAAGCCCCAAACCACACATCATCTGGAAGAAGAGTGGTGTCCCACTCACTACCGGATACAGGTGAGTAATACCTGTGCTCAGGTTTTCACTGTCCTTACATGGAGACCTTTGTGGTTTACATGATCTATATTTTATCTGACGTGTGAATGCAGCTGTAAAACAAATCCCCTAACTCAAGGACTAAAGTGCTAAAGTCATCACTGTAAAACTGTAAGAAATGAACACGTCATTAAAGCTCAGCTTTCTACCAGAATACACAACTCGGACCCCCCCTCTCAAACCCAACTGACACCAATCCTAAAGTCCCTGTCAGATATAACACAAGATTAGCAAAACCAAACATCTGGCTCATGGTTCAGCTAAGGTCAATTGTCTCACCCAGTAATGAGCCGCCAGCACATTAAGCTACAGCTCTCATTCCTGCTTCTGCATTGAGATCAATCCCTTTAGACCTGAATCCATGATTTTATCTTCAGTGGGCTCTTAGGACAAACGGTGCTGGTAAGACTAAGTATGGGTAAAATATCAGGACACTGTTTGCTCCTATTGTGATGGATCACGCTGCAGCCTTCAGGGGCCTGTAATGCTCATTCCCCTCCATCAGATACAAAGTTGCCTACAAGAAGGAGACTGGAGAGTGCCGTTTAGAGATCTCCATGACCTTCGCCGATGACGCTGGAGAATATGCCGTGTTTGCCAAGAATAAGCTTGGAGAAGTCTCTGCCTCCGCCAGTCTGCTGGAGGAAGGTCAGTAAATACTGCAGTGATGGCAAACTGCTGTCCTAAAGATATAACACAAGGAGCAGAGATAAAGGGACTGTCAGTGGATATTATGCCATACAGCTCATGCAGAAACAGTTAGCTTGCACAGTCCTTAAAGAGATGATGGAAACTACTTGAACTCATAGGATTGTTTTTTTATTTTGTTTTTTTGCCAACAGAGGAATATGAAGCCTACATGAAGAAACAGGAAGCAATGTTTAAGACTGAAGTGACATCCATTGTGCAAGAGCCCAAGGTGGGAGATATTCCCCCTGTCACTGTCACAACAATGGAGAAGATAACCACCACCATTATCTCTGGACAGGTAGAGAATCCTTAGCCATAGCTGTGATCATAATACAAAACCAAACCATGTCAAAGCCATCATAAGGAACTAGATGGTTATGTGGAGTGTTTGTCACTATCCTGTGTAATAGTTTATATGAGCTCCAGTGAGCTGTTTACAAAAAAAAGTCTGGAGATGCCACAAAGTCTCAAATCCTGATAGAACAGTTAGTATGTGGACACCTCTATCATTTTGTGTTCTGTATATCACATCATGACGATGAGTACAGCACAAACTTAAGTAAGCACTTTACCTTGAGATTAAGTAAAAAGCTGGGGTCCCTGTAGCTGCAGATACTGCTGTTGTCAGTAGTAACTGCCGTTGATATTGTAATTCAGAGCGCACTGTCAGACTAAGCTCTCATTAGAATTGGTGTTGTTGAATTTCCCACACTACCTGGTTGACTGTCCAGCTTTAGTAAAACCTTTATGTGCCTTTAAATATGCGTTAAATATGCACGTTATTGGGAAGAAAATATAATAACCGATGCATAAAAATTAAAGCAAGCATAAAAATCATCATTTTCGTAATCTACAAAGACTTTTCCTTGGGCTTGACTATGATCAGGACCCACTGACTGACATCATATCATATCTGCAGGAATTCCATCTGTCTGTCATCGAGCAGAGGATCATCCAGGAGATTGAGTTTACCATTATGAAAATCAGCTACAGAGAGATTGTGACAGAGGATGGAGAGTTGATGGTGACTGCCACTGAGACTGAGGCGGTACAGCCAGCCTTTGACACTCCAGTGAAAAGTTACAGGATCATGGAGGGGATGAGCGCTACTTTCCACTGCAAGATGTCTGGAATGCCGCTCCCCAAGGTGCTGAATCTTTAAGAAATATGTTACAATTAGAGAAATGGTCTTGAAATACATAAAAAGCTCTAAAGTAGAGTTCACATGATTTTACGATCACGTCGTATCTCTTGGCAGATTGCTTGGTTCAAAGATGGCCAGCGTATTAGGGCTGGAGACCATTACCAAATAGAGGTTCTTCAGGATGGACGGGCCAGCCTTCGTCTGCCTGTAGTGATACCCGAAGATGAAGGCGTGTACACCGCGTTTGCCACCAACATGAAGGGTAATGCTGTCAGTTCTGGGAAGCTCTATGTGGAGCCATGTGAAACAGTAACACCTCAGCAATTCACACCACAGCCAGCAGTGCAGAGGATCAGGTAAAGAAATTCACAAAGCTTGAAACAGGGAACACTGACGATAAGGGAAATGACAAGGATTAATACTTTCTCAGGTCCACATCTCCTCGCTCTCTGAGCCGCTCACCTGGCCGTTCTCCCAGTCGTTCACCTGGACGTTCTCCTGCTCGTCGGCTAGATGAGACTGATGAGGCTCAGCTAGAAAGACTCTACAAGCCTGTTTTTGTCATGAAGCCTTCATCATATAAATGTTCTGAGGGACAAACTGCCAGATTTGACCTGAAGGTTGTGGGCAGACCAATGCCTGAGACGTACTGGTTCCACAATGGTGAGTACAACAAAGAGGAAATCTTCAAAAAGAGTTTGAACAAAATTTGTTGATCTCACAAGCCATTCAACTATCTTCCTCTCAGGGCAACAAATAGTTAGTGACCACACCCACAAGATCGTGGTTAAAGAGGATGGCACTCAGTCCCTGATCATCGTCCCAGCTTTGCCACAAGACTCCGGGGAGTGGACTGTGGTGGCTCAGAACAGAGCTGGACGCACATCCATCTCCGTCACTCTCGCTGTTGATGGTAAGAATGCAACTTCATATTCTCTCAACTTGAAGTTTCTTCCAGAAGGAAAAATGTTGGGGGATTGGCTTACTTTCATTTAACTTTCTTTTTCAGCCAAGGAAACCCTGGTGCGTCCACAGTTCACTGAGAAACTGAGGAACATCAGTGTGAAGCAGGGCACTCTGGTTGAACTGGCTGTCAAAGCCATTGGAAACCCACTGCCTGATATCGTCTGGCTGAAGAACAGCGACATCATCACCCCACACAAGCACCCAAGCATCAAGTATGTTCTGTGACTTTAGCATTAAATGTAGATCACATCTGTTTGCTTCAATGACCTTGATGCAGCAACACACTTTTTTTAATGAAACGCTGCGTTTGTGGAGAGTAAAAGTATTCCTCAAAGCAACCTGAGATTTTCATTTCAATTAAAAACACGTGTCAAATGTCAATTCTTCTCTAAAATGAGAATTTGATTTTCCAGGATTGAAGGAACCAGAGGAGAGGCTAAATTCCAGATCCCATCAGCAGCTGGCTCAGACAGCGCCTGGTACACCGCTACAGCCATCAATAAGGCTGGCAGAGATACCACTCGCTGCAGAGTCAATGTTGAGGTGGAATATGCTGAGCCTGAACCAGAGAGGAAACTCATCATTCCCAAAGGAACATACAAAGCCAAAGAGATCGCTCCTCCAGAGGTGGAGCCGCTTCATCTGCGATATGGTCAAGAGCAATGGGAGGAAGGCGACCTTTATGACAAAGAGAAGCAGCAAAAACCACAGTTCAAGAAGAAGCTGACATCTGTCCGCATGAAGCGCTTCGGTCCAGCTCATTTTGAGTGCAGACTGACTCCTATTGGTGACCCCACAATGGTGGTGGAGTGGCTGCACGACGGCAAACCTCTGGCTGCTGCTAACAGATTGCGCATGGTGAATGAATTTGGTTACTGCAGCCTGGACTATGAAGCCGCTTATGCTAGAGACAGCGGCGTCATTACCTGCAGAGCGACCAACAAGTACGGAGTTGACCAAACCTCAGCCACCCTGATTGTCAAGGATGAGAAGGGCCTTGTTGAGGAAACACAACTTCCTGAAGGAAGGAAAGGTGCCCACCGGATCGATGAGATAGAGCGTTTGGCTCATGAAGGTGGACCTTATGGAGTCACTGCTGAAGAAGAAACAGAGAAGATGAAGCCTGAGATCGTCCTTGTTCCAGAACCAATCAGAGTTTTAGAGGGTGAAACGGCTCGATTCCGCTGCAGAGTGACCGGATATCCAGCACCAAAAGTTAACTGGTACCTCAATGGACAACTTATCCGCAAAAGCAAGAGATACAGACTTCGCTATGATGGCATTTACTACTTGGAGATAACTGACATCAAATCATATGATTCAGGGGAGGTCAGAGTCGTAGCAGATAACAATCTGGGCTCCGTTGAGCATGTCGTAAAACTGGAGATTCAGCAGAAGGAGGACTTCAGAACTCATCTGCGCCGTGCCCCTGAGGCTAAGCCAGCTGAGGCTGCACCTGAACCTGGAAAAGTACCATTTGAGGTAGTTAAAGCTGAAAAGCCTACAGAGGACACTCAGCTGAAAGAGGTCGTCAAACTCAAGAAGGCCCAGAGAATTGTCCATGAGAAAGCCAGTGAGGAGTCAGAGGAGCTGAGGAGTAAGTTCAAGCGCAGGACAGAGGAAGGCTATTACGAGTCTATTACCGCAGTGGATCTCAAGTCTCGCAAGAGAGATGACTCCTATGAGGACCTGCTGAGGAAGACAAAGGAGGAACTGCTTCATCGTGCCAAGGAGAAGGAGGAGGCTGAGAAGAAGAAGGAGGAAGAGCGTCGCCAAGTTACTGCCAAGCCTCTAAAACCAGAGAGGGTCAAGCTCTCACCCAGCATGGAAGCGCCAAAGATCCTTGAGCGTATCACCAGCCAGACAGTCGCACAGGGTGACGAAGTCAAGTTTAGAGTCAGAGTTGTCGGCAGACCAGAACCTGAGTGTCAGTGGTTCAAGAATGGAGTTCAGCTGGAGAAGTCTGACCGTGTCTACTGGTACTGGCCTGAGGACCATGTTTGTGAACTGGTGATCAGGGATGTCACAGCAGAGGATTCTGCCAGTGTCATGGTTAAAGCTTCCAGTACTGCTGGAGAGACTTCAAGCCACGCTTTCCTGTTGGTGCAAGGTAACACAGACCTTGATCATGTACATATAATTCTGATTTTAAATCCTGCATTCTCTGAATAATGCTCTGGTGTCATTTCTGCAGCAAAACAAGTCATTAACTTCACTCAGAAGTTGGAGGACGTCAGTGCCAAGGAGAAGGATACCGTGGCTACCTTTGAGTGTGAAACCAACGAGCCTTTTGTGAAGGTCAAATGGCTGAAGAATAATGTGGAGATCTTCTCTGGAGACAAATACAGAATGCACTCTGACAGAAAGGTTCACTTCCTGTCTGTGCTGATGATCGAAATGAGGGATGATACTGAATATACATGCGTGGCTGTAGATGATGATACTGTCAGGACAGCCGCCAAGCTTAATGTTGAAGGTGGGTTAGGTTCTTCATATTCTGTTCATTAGGTAATGAAATCAACACAGTTCATTATTAATTATTCCAAATACATAAACGGTTACCTCAAGGTACTTTATATGGTATATGTATACTTTGTGGCTGACTTGAACTCTTGTTGTATTATGTGACCAACAGGAGCTCCTCTGGAGGTGTTAAAGCAGCTGGAGAGCACCGAGGTGCCCGAGACTTACTCCGGAGAGTTTGAATGTATTGTCTCTCGTGAAGATGCCGAAGGCAGCTGGTACTTTGGAGATAATCTGCTGACTCCTGGCAGTAAATACGTCATCTCCTCCCGCCGTGGAAGACACACTCTCTCTGTGAAAGACGTCAAGAAGGAAGACCAGGGAGAATATACCTTCAAAGTGGGCGAGTTTAAGACAAGTGCCTCTCTGAAGATGAAATGTGAGTTGCTGTTCCCATGGCACTGAATTGGATATGGATGATGAAACTCTATGGACGGAAGTTATTGTATTTAAGAAGTAAAGTTAAGTCTACTGTTCAGACTACAACAAAATGTGTTACTGGAATTCGGGCTAACCATCTTCTCCTGTTTGTGGACAAACCATTTCTACTTTCCCTCAAAATACATTTAAATCTAAATGATAGGTTTTTATAAAAGTGCCACAAACCCAATTCCAAAAACGATGCGGTGCTGTGTAAAATAAAGATTAAAAACAGAATACTTTGATTTGCAAATCTTATAAAGCCATATTTTATTCATAATCAAACATAGAAAACATATCAAGGGGTGAGAAAGGTGAGAAAATTAACCATTTTAATACAAGTTTATTTTGTATTTAAGGCAGCGACATGTCTCAAAAACAGGCCCACGTGTCCCATGGTGTAGCATCGCTGGGTGTTTGGTTGCAGTTTAGCAGCGTGCTGCTCAAACACGAAGGCCTTCCTGAAACACACGTCTGCATGGAGCAGATGTTTCTCTAAAGCCCGTTCATACCCTTCAGCCCCGATGGGGCCTTTCCACACACACACACACACACACATCGCATGTAGAGTGCTAACAGTGACATCTTTATTTTTTAGTGCGTCCAGTGACCTTGATGCAGCCTTTGTCTGACATGACCGTCTGCGAGGGTGACATCGCTCAGCTTGAGGTCAAGTTCTCCCAGGAGAATGTTGAAGGAACCTGGATGAAGAAGGGGCAGCCCATCACAGCCTCCAGCCGTGTGCATATAGTTATTGACAAACAAATTCACAAACTCCTTATAGAAGATACAACCAAGGACGACTTTGGAATGTATTCCTTCGAGGTTCCTGATCATGGAATTTCAACCTCTGCAAAGCTGGTCATTCAGAGTGGGTCACCTCAGATGCACATGTTTTTCTTTAATGACTTGGTTTCAAAATAAAATCCTCTAATCAAAATATCTCATCTTGCAGCTATTGGCATCCTGATCCCACTGAAGGACAGTCATGCAATTGAGGGTACAAAGGTCGTCCTAGAGGCAAAGATCTCTGCTCAGGACATCAGCTCAGTCAAATGGTACCACAATGACAACCTGCTGACAGCCAGTGAGCGAATCCAGATGGTGGCAAAGGGAGCCAAGCAGCGCCTGGTTTTCACCAGAACATACGCCTCAGATGAAGGACACTACAAACTGGTGGTTGGCCGAGCTGACACCAGCTGCAGATTTACTGTTGAGCGTAAGTTACGCCATTATGAGGTCCAAGCATGTTTTGGAGGTTTACTACTGTAGTTGCATCATCTATATTCTGGAATGACCTGGAAGCTAAGTTTATGAATCTTTAGGTCTAATATGAAGCCTTGAGGCGACTTTTGTTGTGATTTGGCGCTATATAAATAAAATCTAATTGAATTGAATTAATAAACCATGACCACCACTAGTCACATGAAGTTTACCTGTAGAAAACTATTAAGAAACTACATGAGAGTCATGACATGAGAGTCTTTGCTTTCAGCTTCCAGAAATCTTATTCAAGCTGATTACCTGAAAAGGGTCACTAATATTTTCTTGGCAACATAAGATTTTTCTGCTGAACACAATAGATTCTGCTGAATGCAACTTTCTTTAAAATCGTATGAAAACTTGCACCTGCTTCTTACATATATAGTCTGACATGAACATCATGACCTCGTGGCATTTACAAAACTAGAACCAAGCCCATGTGGTACATCTTTATTATTGAATGAGTCAGATGGATAATTGTGAAAAAGTGAAAGCAAGTCATCTACATTTCCTACAATTTTATTGTACATGTACAATAAAAATGGCTATTCTATTCTATTCTACTGTACATCAGTTCGAGGCTTAACTATCGTTCTGTCTCAACAGCTGTCCAGATTGTGACACCAATGAAAGACAAACAGTGCTCCGAGTCTGAAAATGTCACCTTCGAGGTCGAGGTCTCTCACCCAGGCATTGACGCTTTCTGGACCTTTAAGAGGCAGCCGATTAAAGCTGGTCCCCAGTACAAGATGGAGTCCAAGGACAAGAGGCATAGGCTCACGGTCATGAATGCAATGAAGGATGAAGAGGGCGAGTACATGTTTGCTGCTGGTGAGAAGATGTGCAGTGCTTCACTCACCGTAACAGGTACGCAAAACACACTTTTATTGCACGCTTAAAAAGTTCAGAGAAGATTTCTGTCACCAGGCAGTAACTGGCTATCTCCTGTCCCCAGGTGGTGCCATTAAGAAGCCCCTACATGATTTGGTGGTAGCTGACTCCCAGACCGCTGTGCTGCAGTGTGAAGTTGCTAACCCATCCGCAGAGGGCAAGTGGCTAAAAGACGGTCAGCCTGTTGACTTCAACGAGAACGTGCTGAGCGAGGTGGACGGTGCTGTCAGACGCCTCGTTATCATCATCACTAAGGCCACTGACGTTGGAGAGTACACTTACCAGGTCGCCACCTCCAAGACCTCAGCCAACCTGAAAGTCGAGGGTAGGTCCAGCTTTCCATGGAAACACACACGTAGATCATACAGCCAATGCGGATCAGGAGGTTAGGAAGCTGAATTTGTTTGTGAAGGTGCTTAAAGGGTTTCTTTGAACACGGGCTGCCTCTTTATTCATGTCCAGTCCAGTTTTCAGAGCAATTATATTTTTCTTTCTTATGTCTCTTCACTGATATGAAGAAATATTGTGTCAACACATAACAGACAACTGTTACCAGCAACCTGCCATAAAAACACACCATTTGTTGACTCTATGAGTGCAGACATTTCTTCCAAATGATTGAATGATACTTTAAATTTAAATCATTTAGATCTGGTCTGCTGACTCGTACCTGCCCACAGCAACAACCACAAAGACCCACCCTGTGAGAGTTTAATTCTGGACTCAGCCACTTCACTTGTTTAACTGTTACCTTGCCTCTTGGTGTTTTTCTCCACAGCTGTCAAAGTCAAGAAGACCCTGAAGAACCTGAATGTAGTCCAGACTCAAGAAGCCACGTTCAGCCTTGAACTGACCCATGAGGATGTAAGGGGAGCACAGTGGATCAAGAATGGCGTTGAGATCCAGCCCAGTGATAAATATGAAATCAGTATTGAAGGCACACTTCACACATTGAAGGTCAAGAACTGCAGCACACAGGATGAGTCTGTTTACTCCTTCAAACTGGGAAAACTGTCTGCAAGTGCCAGACTCAATGTGGAAAGTAAGTATTAACTATTGATTTTGGAATAAAACAAAAAGCTTTTTGGCTCTGTGCCTACAAGGTTGGGAAATTTACCTAAACCACATGGGACCTCTAGATTCCTAAAGCTTTTTACCAACAGAAGACCTCTTTTCCCACAGCCATTAAGATCCTGAAGAAGCCAAAGGATGTGACAGCACTGTCAGGAGCAACAATTGTATTTGAAGTTGGCATCTCAGAGGATGACATCCCAGTGAAATGGATGTTCAATGACAAAGACCTGGTGTCTGACGAGCGCTACAGCATTATCTCTGAGAAGAAGAACCACAAGCTGATTGTCCACGACGTGGACGACAGCGTGCAGGGCAACTACATTGCTGTCATAGGACACCTGCAGTGCAGCGCTCACCTCGTTGTTGAGTGTAAGCATTATCATATCAGTAGTTTTTGGACGTAAAAAATGCTAAAACACAGGCCAAGGTCACGTTAGGACTAAACTTGTCTGTATTTTACTCTTAGCTCTACGTGTCACAAGGCCCATGAAAAACGTGGAGGTCACAGAGACTCAGGTGGCCACATTTGAATGTGAAGTTTCTCACTTCAATGTCCCGTCCACCTGGCTGAGGGATGGTGTGGAGATTGAGATGAGTGAGAAGTTCAGGATTGTGGTTCAAGGGAAACTCCATCAGCTGAAGATCATGAACACCAGCAATGAAGACTCTGCAGAGTACACTTTTGTCTGTGGGAACGACCGCGTCTCTGCAACGCTAATCGTTAACCGTAAGTTACCATCAGTGAAACTTAAACCTTTAGATTTACAATGTATCAATTCATCAATTCGTTCTTCAGAGATGTTTCACATGTTGCCAAATCATTACAATGTATCAAACCATGAAATGTCTTTAAGTAACTTTAATTGGATTCTTTCATTTCTCCTCTGAGTTGGAAATCTAAACATTTTTGTTACAAAAAAAAAGAAATAATTAGCACATTCAGATTTTCTAATTGGATATTTATGACAAATTATAAGTATAAGCCACTTTCAATTACTTTGTAGTTTAAGGTGAAAACTCTAACCGATCAGATGTTTGCACTAAGGATGAAGTTACAGATTAAAAAACACAACTTTGTATTCTTCACTGTACTTAAACATCTCTTCAAACTTATTATCACTTTGCTGTTTTCCAGCTATTCTGATCACAACGATGCTTGAAGACCTGAACGCTCAGGAGAAGGACACGGTCACATTTGAGGTGAATGTGAACTACGAGGGAATAACGTACAAGTGGCTGAAGAACGGCGTGGAGATCCGCTCTACGGACCGCTGCCAGGCTCGCTGCAAACAGCTCACTCACTCTCTGAGCATCAGGAATGTTCACTTTGGAGACAGTGCCGAGTACACCTTCATGGCTGGCTCTGCAGTCACTTCAGCTAAACTTCACGTTGAGGGTAAAATGCTTTGATTCTAATTTAACTTTTCAATTGACTTTTCACATTAGATGTTTTTGGACTCCATCAACTTCAAATAAAATTATTTCAACACCTCACCGTGTTTTAGCTGGTTTTTAAATGTGTGTGTCTGTCGTTTGCCTGTACAACCATCTCCGTTACCCCTGAAAGACATTTAGAACTTACTGAAAGACTCTTAAAGCTACTCTAATGGACTATCACGAGTAACTCTGAAATAACCAGCAGAATCTAACACATTTGACATGTAGACTCACTCACAGGACACTCTGAACTTTTCAACGGACTTCTGGAAACTCCCCAAATAAGTTGATCCTCGTTAATGCCATAGGAACGCATACACGATTCTTTCTGTCACTACTAGAACCTCTAAAAGGTACCCTTCAGACCTTTTCTTACGGCCATTAATATTACTAATAGACATTTAAAACTGTGAACGTCCAAACTTCCCCAAGGACTCCTTGAATCTTGTTCTTAGTAGTACCTCCTCAATGAGGAAGAAAACCTTGCAGAGGACGACTAGAGCCTCTGGGCTGATGAGTGATTTGTTTCCATAAGGTCAGACACACTGATAGATGTAGGTAAAGTAACTGTATCTATGTCCCTGTTTTAGCCCGTGTGGTTGAATTCACCAAACACCTGCGGGACCTGAAGATCACAGAGAAGAAGAGGGCAACATTTGAATGTGAAGTTTCTGAACCAAACATCCAGGTGATGTGGATGAAAGATGGTCAGGAGCTGGAGCTGTCCGACAGGTAGAGTCCTTGATAGTCAGTTGTGGGAACAATTACTGAGTTTTACCAACATAGAGATCAACTCTTAAACCTTCTACACCTTCTTTGTTTGCTACAGGTACAAAATGACATCGGACCAGTTTGTGCACCGTCTGGTTCTGCCCTCTGTGCGTCTGTCGGATGCCGGTGAATACACCGCTGTGGCCGGTTCAAGCATGTCCAAGGGCCACCTGGCAGTCGAGGGAAGAGATGTCAGAATCTCAGAGCCAGCCACCAGGGACATCACGGTAAGATTAGGTGGTAGACTCCATAAAAATGCACCAAATCCTGGGATTTTCATACTGTCTGTCAGTTTATGTGTGACGATGACAGAAATATTTTTCAGACTTTATGATCTTTGAGAGCACACACTGCCGATCATTTAATATATTCTTTTTCAGATATTTTGTCCTACAGGAAGAGATTTCTTAATAATTGTGACAATGATTATTTTTTTAGAAATACTAGAAGGACGTTTCTGGTGTTGTGCTAATCATGTGGTGTTTTTCAGGTTGTTGAGAAGCAGAGAGCCACTTTTGAGTTTGAGGTGAATGAGGATGATGTAGAAGGTCACTGGCTGAGAAATGGAGTGGAGCTCCAGTTCACTGTGGAGGAGAGGTTCAATTATGCCACCATCAGGAAGCTCCACCGTCTCACCATCTCTGAGACCTTCAGGAGCGATGCTGGAGAGTACACCTTTTTAGCCGGCAAAAACAGGAGCTCTGTGAACCTCCACGTCAGATGTAAGAGCTCCAGTCCTGCATCAGTCCAGCACTGCTTTCCTTCTTTGCGTGAAAAACCACTGGACAGTTTCTGAAAATAAAAGTGAAAAGCTTAAAAATGATACTTGTACTGTTTAAATGTATCTGTTTTTAAATCTAATCTTTACTTTCTTCTATTATCATCAAAGTATTCTTTGACCAGAGGACCAAGCAGAGTATTAATGTTTCTTTCTTCTACTTTCCTTCAGTGCCAGAGCCACCTCAGATCATCCGGGAGATGCAGCCCCAAACCGCGATCTCGGGCAGGTCAGTTCGCTTCTCGACACAGGTGAGCGGCCTTCCTCAGCCTCAGGTGTTCTGGTACAAAGATTCTGAGGTTCTGTCCACGAGCTACAAGTGCAAGTTCCTCCATGATGGAGATGAGCATACGCTGCTGCTGCTTGAAGTCTTCCCTGAAGATGCAGGCATCTATAGCTGTGAGGCCAAAAACAACTACGGAGAGGTGACGAGCTCTGCATCTCTCACTGTGGAAGGTACATATGGAGTGTTTTATTGGAATTAGCCAATATTATTAGCCACCAAATCGAGCGATGACTTACGGTGTCTTTGTCTTTTCTGCAGTTCCGGAGGTGGTTGAAGCCGTGGCTCAGGTTTCCCCTCCAGTCCTCATCGCTCCCATGAGGGACCTGCTGATCTCAGAAGGACATCCTGCCCAGTTCCAGTGCAGCGTCTCTGGGGAAGGTATTGACCGTTACTCGCCTCCTTTACTGTCATACGGCATTTTAAATACTCATTGACCATAAATCCTCTCGCAGCTGTCATCAGTGTGGTGTGCCGTAAACGGTTTTTCCTGACTATGAGAAAACACTTTCTCTCCAGATCTGCAGATTTCTTGGTTCTGCAATGACAGAGAGATCAAACAGTCGGACATCTTCAGGATGTCTCATTATGATGACACCTGCCTGCTGGAGATTTCCCGAGTTCTTCCCAGCCTTGAAGGAGAGTACTCGTGTGTTGCTACAAATTTGGCAGGAATGGTCACATGTGCCGCCACTCTGAATATTGATGGTGAGTTCAGCAGACGTTCGCATACTAATTGGATAAAACTGACAGGCTCTTACTGCACGTTCATCAGCTGCCAAGAAGGCCCTAAGTCGGTGCATGTTCCTCACAGGATTGATTTTAATTTTAGAATATCATGTGGATTTCCTGTAAGACAAGGTCTGATATGTATAACGTCCAACGTATCGAGAACCGATAGTCAAAGTTTAACAGCACTCACTGACTACGGTGATATAATGATGGCAGCATGTAAGCACGTTCTGATTGGCCAGGTGTGCTTTAAGTCTCCTTTCATCCCTCCGGAGCCATGAGAGCGTGTTACACAAGAAGTTTACTTACTGGCAAAACATAAAAGGAAGCATCTATTGGCAAGCAAAGCAACCTTAACTGAGCCAATAGAAAGATGCATGGTTCAGCCGGGGGAGGTGGCAAGCATGTCAGCTATACTGGAGATCAACGCTGCTGGCTGCACAAAGATTTTCCTTTTCTTTTAATATCCTCGTGGAGGATAGAGCCTAGCTTAGCATTCACAAATAAAACTGTTCAATGTGTAAAAACATTTAAAATGTCGATTCAGGACAGATCAAATCTCCTGCAGCTGTCAGCGGCTAGCACTGACGCCACGTCAGCTCTTATACCGTTGTGGGGAAAACCGTGAGCGCTGCTCATGTTACAGTCACTGTGTGCATGACGTCTCCTGGATTTTTGTGCAACCAGCCCTTGGATTGGAACGATTTTCCAGCCACTCCATCAAACTCAGATTTCATACTTTCAGTGCGATGATGTGAGAAACTGACTCGTTTCTGTGAGCATGCAGCTGCTCCACACTGAATCTGCTCTTATCCTCACTGGAATCATCATCTTAAAGGTCTCTTTGCAATGCATGACGTCTTCTCTCCAACACAAACAGTATTAATGGTCTTTATTGCGAGACTGGAGTTTTCATGTCAGAGGAATGCCGCATGGTTCAGCCACTGCTGGACTTTGGAAATGTTCCTCACACTCAAGCACGGACGTGATCGCTGGCTGTGTTTTTCTGTTTGTTGTTGTTCTGTTCCAGTCAAGCTTGCATGATTGACAGCGGACACCCACCACTGTCCACTCCCTCACTCATCATTATTGATCCTCAACGCGCCACTCCCACTGCACTGTTGGCAACAGGCTGTGACAGTAACCTGGAGAAATCCGTAGAGTGATGATGTGTTGACCTAATTCTTCTACTCTTTCTTATTGCCCAGATAAAAAAGCCTTAGCTAGCGTGTCAAGCACTGGGGCTGAGGCTAAGCTATTTCAGAGACTGGAGGCTCAGAGTGAGAGTTTCAGCTCTCTGTCAGTGGGACAAACAGCCCACAGTGTTGAGTTTACTGAGACGATCACCGAGAGCTCCTCTGTGTCTTGGAGCACGATTGAGATAAGCTCGATGGAGAGGAGCTCTGAGAGCAGCTTTGACTTCAAACTCTCAGCCAGCCCGAAGCTGCTGATGGAAATGAGCGATGTCCGAGTGAAAAGTGGTGAAATGGCAGAGTTCAGCTGCTCATTCGACGGCCAGCCCTTCTCCGGGGTGGTATGGGAACATAACGGCGAGAGCCTGGTGGACACCGAGCGGGTGAGAAGCTCTCAGAGCGGTGGCTTTTTGTCCCTGGTCATCCAGGGCGTCGGTGTGGTGGACCAAGGCACGTACCGCTGCACCGCTACCAACGAACATGGCCACAACAGCTCCTCTGCTCAGCTCACTGTTGAAGGTGGTTAATCTTTCTTTTTTTTATCAGCCTGTCTCTCCATCTGGTCCATCCCACCTTTCCAGCTGCTCCTCCCGCTTAGTGCTCCCCCACCCCCATGACTTAATATTTAATATGTTATCCTGTAACCTCTTGTAGTGTAATAAAATAACAAACCCTAGTCCAGTTTATCCTCCCCTCCTGTCAGCTTCGCTACGCTAACCTCATCATTCATCCTATTAACCCTTTAGCATTTAGAGTCATGGCCATGTACTCTGTGACCCCTAATTACTTTTCCTAACTCTATTCTTACCCAGCTAAAGAAGCAAATCTCAAAGCAGAAACCCCCATCCCTACCGATTCAGTGCGCAAAGTGTTACAGGCACACAGGGAGAGCCCTAGAGATCCCTCTGACCAAGACAAGCAGGAGGTGGTGGAGAAGCCAGGACCATCACCTCCATCTTCCCAGAGACCTTACAGCCTCATCAGCCTGTTGTATTTCCCTGATGTCGTGCCTAATGAATACCGAGGTCATCGCCCTTCCAGCTGCCCCGACTTCCTGATCAAACTCCCCCCTGAGCTGCTGATCAGAAACAAAGGCAGTGGCTCCCTGAATTGCGTCGTGAAGGGGCTTCCCACTGCGTTTGTCATTTGGCTTTACAACCAGTTGAATGCTGAGGAAACTGTGTGTTACTCTGTGAAAAATCAAGACCCCTCAAGCTGTATAAAAGTTAACAATGTGGGACCTGGAAAAGGGGGCTCTTACGTTTGCAAAAATATCAGCTCAGCCGGAGATGCTGAGCGCAGCACAGTGACGAAAGGTTGGCATCTGCATGCTTTTGGTCCTTCTGCTCGCTAAGGCTTCTTTACACCACTCATTCACACTGCTCTTCACCCACACAGCCAGCAGAGGCACACTTCTTCACAGGGTGACAACACTTCTTCAACGAGGTCATAACCACTGTGTGCTCACACCACTTAGTGTTTGAAAAAAAGCCCAGCGGTGCTGCACACTAAGAGACCAAACAGGAGCATGCACAAACGTCAGTTAAACGAAACAAAAAAGGGATGGATGCACGAGCCACCACTGGTTCTAACAGTCTCCCGGGAATCTTTAGGAATGTTTTTAATTTGTGAACATCTGTGTCTTTACAGTAACTACAGAGGAGAAGGTGACTCAGGTCCAGGAGGAGATAAAAGGTAAATATGGCTTTCATCGTGATGTCTCCATCCTTGGTCTTAGTTGTTTTTGTTCTTTGTCTACAGGTTGTGTTGGTAAGAAGTTCAAGGGCACTTTTACGAGTTTACTTTGATAACTGAACCAAGTTCAGAGTGGACTCGGGACTTTTATTATCTGACTCTGATCATGTAGAATTAGTTTTGATTGAGGAACAAGTCTTTGAATCCTGGATGCAGCGTTATAGAAGTTTTTAGTCAAACATGTAAAACACTGCTCCTGTACTGAAGATGAATTGAACTGCAGTTTTCCTGTTTTCAGCAGACTGTACTGTGGTTGGAGTGTGAGGCTGATTTAACCTGTGATTATTCCACTCAGTCTTCTGTAGCTCAGCCGTCACAGTGGAAGAGGAAACCCAGGAGTCATACTTCACTGGCATAAAGTTAGCAGACAAAACCAAAACACTTGAACTCGAACCAGAGTCTAAACGCTTCTCCAGCACTTTGGAAAAGAAAAAGGAAAAACCAGTTTTCCTCAGTGGACTTTCTCCGGCAGCTGTGACTGTCGGAGAAACGGCTACGTTTACCGTCAGAGTGTCCGGCTTCCCTAAGCCCACCGTCCAGTGGTTTCACAACGGGCACACTATAACCAGTTCATCCGTGTATACATTTATTCACGAACACGATGAGTACAGCTTGGTGATTAACACAGTTCACAGGGAATGTGAAGGAGAGTACTCCTGCACGGTCAGCAACAGATTTGGCCAGTCAACCTGCACTTCCTACCTGCACGTTCAGGTGAAGGAGCCAGAAAAGCAGGAAAGAGCCGCGGAGAGAACATTTGCAGTGACTGGTAAGCGCCCAGAATTCACTAAAACTATAGAATCTCTTCAGCGGCAGGAGGGGGCTCAGGGTGTCTTCAGTTACACTGTGACTGGAGATCCTCTCCCTGAGGTCCAGTGGCTTAAAGGCACTTCCCACATCCAGCCTAGTGGGTTCTGTATCATTGTGAACAACCCAGATGGATCCGGGTTAATTAACATTAAGAGTGTCAAACAGGAGCACAGCGGCATTTACACCTGTAAGGCCTCAAACCAGTACGGGGAAGCCTCCTGTACTGCAGAGCTGCTGGTGTTCAGGGAGAAAGCTCAGGAAGAGGACACGTTAGTACAGAAAACACAAGGTTTGACGATATCGATGGCAGAACAAACCGCAGAACTCAGATTTCACCAGGAAAGATCCCGGTCTGAACACATGATCTATACCATTAGTACTGGAGACCGACAGATTATTCCCAGTGAAGAGGTGGAAACGCTCAGAGAGCTCAGCATCTCTTCTGCCACCCTTCATCGTGAGCAACTTACCCACCAGGCAGCGGTGCTGCAGTCCCATGAAATAGAGGAGAGGGTTTCATTAGCCCCCAGCCATCCACCTCAGGTCTCAGCTGTCCCTGTTAAACAGCATCACGTGGCTGCTTTCTTATCCTCAGTCCAGGAGAGACAAAAGATCACAGCGCAGCACTCTGAACGGATTCTCAGCCCCGAGGTGGTTGAGCTGGAGTCAGCCAAAGAGCAACCGCCCAAGCTCATGTCAGCTACGTCTGAGGAGGTCCTTCCCCTCAGCACGGTGAGAGCTGAGGCACTGATAGGTCAGAGTCCAGAACACGTAAAGACCTCCAGCGAGCCGAGGCAACTTGTTACTAGTCACCAGGTCGAGCTCGCTGTACCTATCGCTGATGAAATCTCAGAAGACATGCACAGAAAAGAGGAGGAGAGGAGCTTCAGAGTCACAGAGGGGGTAAAGATTTTATACTCGGCTCAGTATGCAGGACAGCTTCAACTTACAGAAGGACACACTGAGCATCTTCCAGCTTTAGATGCAGACATTAAAGGTTCAGCTGGCAAAGAGCAGCCGAAACCAGTGGTAGCACCAGTGAGTGAAGCCAGAGTGGCTTTATCCAAAGAGCAAAAGCTTGAAACACAAAGACCAGAGCAGGAGAGCATTACCCCGTGCAAAGACATGGTTTATAATTCAGCCGTACAGACCGAAGAGAAATATGAGCTCTGTGCTGATCAAACAGGACAAGTGCCACATGGGGCATTTTCTGTAAGTGTGCAGCCACAGCAGGAGGGAGAACAGCTTCTGAATCTGCAGGTTATCAGTGATCAGGATGTTTTACTGTGTGAGGGGAGGTTGAGCAGTGAAAAACCTCCAACAGAACAAGCAGAAGCGAGGAAAAGTCCGACTTTGCTGCATTCAGTGACTCAAGAAGAACAGAGGACTGTAGTTTGTGAGGCAGCTTCAGAATTCGAAACAAAGATGAACGCCACCTCTGTCCAGCCAAAGCAAGAGTTGGTGCAACCAAAACGCCTTCAGTCGGTCCATTCTCTAACAGTTTTACCAAAAGAAGGCATACTCGCTGTCACCAAACCTGACCAGCAGGTGGCAGCACAGAAGCTGGAAAAGGCTAGATGGCATGCAGCTACCTCAGAAGAGAGAATGGAGGTCACTGCGGATTACCACAAAGATCTTGACATGTCTGCGATCAGCGCTCGACCACAGCCGCGTACTGAGTCCAGGCCTCTGCGCAGCCTTGCTGTGTCCTCCCAGCCCATGCAGCTCCCAAAAGAGACTCCTTTTGTTACGAGCGTCACGCAACAGCGAGCATTAGTCCAGAAAGAGGATTACTGGAATATCATGCAGTCTTTGATCATCACAAACAATCAAAGTCTGGAAGAGGGTCACACTACTAGCTTCGAAACTGATGAAAAATTTAAGCCTGAGATTAAAGTTGAGGCCAAGATACCAAAAAAGCCAGTTTTCATAGAGGAAAAAGCTATGGCCACCGAAAGCTGCACTATCTTAGAGGCGGCTGAGGGGGACTTTGTAGTCCAGATCCAGGAAGGTCAGTCGGTCCGACAGTCAGTGTTTCTAGAAGAAAAACAAGTCATCGTAGGAGAGCGGTCGAGTGAGATTGGTAAATTGGAGGGCACCGCAGTCAGTGTTAAGACACAGCCTAAAGGGTTTCTTTTTGTCCCAGAGGCTCAGGATGCTCTGACTCTACCTAAGGAACTGAATTTCATCATTTATGCCCCCAAACCATCTAGTTTGAATGTACGACATCAGCTCAGAGATGCTCTTCACTCAGCTGTGGCCAGTAATCCACCAGTTTTACTGGCTGATGTTGTTGGAAGACTAGAGGCAGCGGAGGTCCATGAGGTCAAGGTTCAGAGAGAGCCCAGGCAGGCTGCATGTTCCTATCTTATCACATCTCCAGGTTCCCCCCTGGAGATCACGCTGACTTTTGAAGGTGATTACCCTCAGACAGCTGACCTTAGGCATGAACTCCAGGTAGCTTTGCATGCTATGGTTTCCCAAGAACAGCCGAGTCTTACATCAGAGCAGCCAGGCACCGTGCACACTGATAAGCCTCAAAAAGTGCAGGTCAGCTCAGTGTCCTCCAAGGAGGTGTTGTCTTCTGTGGTGGACTCTGTGGTGGTGGCAGAGAGCGCAGGCAGTTTACTTCCTGCTGTATCTCAGTCTGCAGCTCTGACGACAGAAGCCAGGGCTTCCTTTCAAAGTGCGACACTTCAGAGCCAAACCGAGGTCCACGAGTCCAAGAGCAGCAGGACTGTTAGATCAGAGAAGGACGGCACAGTATGCCAGGCTGAACAGCATGTGGACATTTTTGTCCACAGAGAAACCAGAGAGGAATATCTTTCAGAGGCAATCATGATCAGTGAGTCTTCGGACAGTATCACTGATTATCCCGTCATCGTAGATGTTCTGGAGGATGTCTGTGCTGAGGAAAATGGCAAGGCTGTGCTTACTGCCAGTGTTAAATACGTCACCAAAGTTAGCTGGTTTTTCAATGGGAAGCTGGTGAAATCTGGCAAAGAGTTCAAGTGTTTTAAAGACCGTGACACATACACACTAGTTATTGACAACGTTGTCAAAGACCGCCATCAAGGAGAGTATGTCTGTGAGGCTGAGAATGAAGTCGGCAAGACGACGACATCTTCGAGGCTGACTGTGGTGCCACGAGGTTTGATGATGGGAAATTCTTTGATATCATCATCATCCACTAACTTCACGCTAGGGCTGCTCAATTAATCAAATTTTAATCTCGATTACGATCTGGGCTTTCAACGATCATTAAAAATGACTGAGCCGATTATTAGCCCCTCCCTCGTGCTTTACTCTCGCGCTGCTCCGTGTGGCAAATCGAGCGCACCTCTCTGCGTTTCGAACACCCGTCACAACAATAAGAGGACCCGAGGGAAGCTCGGAAAGCTAAGCAGAAGTTATTTGGAGAGGAGAGTGACTGCCGTTGGTTGAAAAGAGGTAAAAAAACTTCATTTCCTGCCCGAAACAGGAAGTGACGTCATTTTCGCGGAAAATGTATTTTTTTTACTTGTAGGCCTTAAAAGCCTATACTGGTGTTTTTATAAGTCATGTTCGACTCTATACTTTTCTGAGTAGTTGCTGGGATGCTCAGAACTCGAATTGCACTGCTGGAAATATTTTATTTTGATGCACCTGCTGCTTTCTTTGCAAATTTGCATCATAGGATTGGTTTTTTTGCTTTTCCTGCAGTATATAAAAATTGGTTTATCTGAAAAATAAAACTATGAAGACACTCAAAATAAATTTCCTGTGGTGGGAAACTATTTTTTGCAACTTTTTTGTATTTAAAGTTTTGAGGGATAAACCTCTTAAATTTTCAATTTTTTTGTAGTTTATTGCACTTTTTTGCTATTAATGTAGTTACTATGGACTTAATGCATACATATTATTAAAATATGGGCTATAACAGTTGTATTGATGTATAGCAACTTGAAATGCTCCCAAAAATGACACTACAGCATGTAAAAAAAAAATAATATAAGCTCTGGCGGACTTGGTTCTATAGTAGGTCTTAAAGGGTTAAATAAATATCGTCAAATAATCGAGATCTCAATTTCAGTGAAAATAATCGTGATTATCATTTTTGCCATAATCGAGCAGCCCTACTTCACGCTGTGGTGAACGTCTGCTGTCTGCAAACCTCAACCAAAACTCAAAGTTTAGGAAATGAGCACAAAGGCAGAACTGAAAATGGCTTACAGCAGGGGTCCCAAAGTCACTTATGTCTGCATTTTTACTTTGTTAAATACGAACACAATGATAGCAGAAGTGCTGCCACGTGTGTGGGCAGACAGACCAGTGACGCCTCATTGAACTACGAAATAAACACAATTAGTGAGGAAAAAACATCTCGTTATAAAATACTTGAAATTTGAAAAACAAACATTTTCAGAAGTATTTGTGGGAGTTTGCTTGTTTGCTTTTCTTGTTCCACTTCAACACTAAGGTGGCCGTCCAATGAGAGGATGCTGCCAGCCCACAGCTCATTTACCTTCGAGACACCTGGCGTGCAGTTTTTTTCAAAAGAAAAGCATTTGGACTTTGAGGCTTTCAGCAGACAGCAGTGACATGATCACATCCCACTCCATCTACTCCTCTACAACCTTCACAGCCAAGCAGTCTCCTTTGACCACATGCCTTTAATCATTCATGTTTGCATGCCTTCTCTCCTTTTGTCGTCACAGACTTCCTGTTCATCACTTCAGCCTGTTCATTTTTTCTCCTCCACTTTCATCCCACCATAACTTTGTGTGTCGCTTTCCGTCCCAGGTTCACTTCATCACCGTCTCCAGTACAAACACTAATTTTTGTTTCATTTCAGCACCTGCTGTGTATTCACAAGATCTTGTTGCCTTTTTCTCTCTTTTGCAAACACAGTGAAGCCTGTGTTCAGGAACAGAATCGCCCCAGTGGAGATAAACATCGGCAGCTCTGCCAAGTTTGAATGTGAAACTGAGGACGCTCCAAACGTGAGCTTCAAGTGGCTCAAAGATGGACATCCCATCAAAGAGGGTGAAAAGTGCAGGATTATCAGTCGCTTCAGCTCTTCCTCCCTGGAGCTTCTGAGGACAACCAAGGATGACAGTGGTGAATACACCTGCAAGGCGTCCAATCAGCACGGCAGTGATGAATGCTCCGCCTCCCTCAGTGTCACAGGTAAGAGCAGTGCATTTTTCCTTCTTCTTGGCTGGTTGAGTTTGGAACTCATGTTGTTTTCATTCCCCTCCGAGGGGATGAATGGCGCGTTTTCGTCTTTGTGCTGGCGTTTTGTTTGTGCAATTGTTTCTTGCCTTGTTGGTTTGATTTCGGTTAAGGTAAAACTTATTAACACTGATTTGTTTCTCTTCTTCTTAATCCCTGTAGAACAATTTCCTCCTGTCTTTATAAGTAAGCCTGACCCTCAGACTGTGTATGTTGGAAAGAGGGCTGTAATGCAGTGTGTAATAGCAGGAACTGCTCCTCTGAATGTTGTCTGGCTTAAAGACAACCAGGCCTTACCCAAAGTGCCTGCACACTACCAGAGCTCTTGTGAAAAGAATAAGCACACTCTTGAGATACCCAGTGTTGAGGCAGCTGACAGCGGGCTTTATGTGTGCAAGGTATCTAACAAAGCTGGGACAGCTGAGTGCCACACGGAGCTGTGTGTTATCGATAAACCCAACTTTGTAAGGCCCCTGGGTTCAGTCGCCGCTGTGGTCGGAGCTGCTCTGCACCTTGAGTGTCAGGTGGATGAGGACACTGGAGTAACTGTCAGCTGGACCAGAGATGGCAGAAAAGTCCACCAGTCTCCCGACTGTAAACTGTTGTTTGAGGATAAGACGGTTACTCTTGATATCCTAAAGACCACACTGAAAGATTGTGGAAATTATGTGTGTACAGTGGCAAACGAAGCCGGCAGTGCGTCTTGCTCCACCACGGTGAAGGTACAAGGTAAGAGCTATCTAGTTAAGTTTCAGGGAAACTGCAGCATTTGTAACTTTTGCAAATCTGCAGTCCTGGAAGTTAACACAGTTCAATTCTCTGGTGTCCATTTTAGATAGACAGCGACTTAAATCTCTCCTCTTTCATTGCGTGGTTGCTGTTTTTAAATGCAGTCTTTGACTTCACAATAGCTCTTTGTTAACCACACACCTCTGCAGAGCCACCGGTCTTTGTAAAGCGGCTGGAAGCCACAACGATTTGGAAGCAGGGCAGCACCGCTCGCCTGCAGTGCACCGTCAAAGGATCTCCCGAACTCCACAGCACCTGGTTCTTGAATAACAGTGAGCTGTCCACTGGTGGCAGACACGCTGTCGGTCTGAAGGACGGTGTCGCCACTCTCGAGATACACGATGTCCTGTTGACTGACAGTGGAAACTACACCTGTGAGGTTCTCAACGAGTGCGGGTGTGAAAGCTGCAGCATTAAAGTAACAGTGAAAGGTGTGTCGAATTTTTGGCAACAAAAGGCCCAAGTCTGTGCAAAAACACATATAACCGAACTGTGTGTTCCCTTTAGAACCTCCGTCATTCAGAAAGGAGTTACTGTCCACCGAGGCAGTCAGAGGGTCGGTAGCTGTGCTGGAGTGTGAGATTGCAGGCTCTGCACCGCTCGAAGTGTCTTGGAAAAAGAATAAGAAACGCCTGTCCTCAGATAAGAAGTACAGCATAGTGTCACAGGGATCGCTGGCCTCTCTGGAGATCCAGTCCTTTGAGAGCGCTGATACTGGTGAATACGAATGTGTCGTATCCAACGAGGTTGGGTCAGCAACCTCAAAGTCAGTACTTAAACAAAAAGGTTAGTGGTGTAAAAGAGGACTTTCATTACAGCGTCCCACAGTCTGGCAGGTGTTGACATTATGATACCAATCGTGTTGTTTCAGAGCCACCTGTGTTCTCAAAGAGGATTGAGAGCGCTACAGCAGTTTTGGGAAATACAGTGAAATTACAGGGAACCCTGAAAGGTTCAGTTCCCATCACCATTAAATGGATGAAAGACTCTGAGCTCCTCAGAGATGATGATCCCAACATCAAAATGTCCTTTGTGAACAACATCACTAGTGTTTCCTTCTCATCTGTTGAGCTGAAGCATGGTGGGAAGTATACTTGTCTCGCTGAAAATGAGGCAGGACAGCAAAAATGTGAAGCTATCTTAACTATTCAAGGTTAGAAAACATTCCCATTACAAATGTCCTCAGAGTTCAGATCTAACTGTTTGTTAAGTGTAAAATTCAATGTGTTTTAGAACCTGCTCGGATTTTAGAGAAAGCAGCCTCCATCAGCGTGACTGCAGGCGACTCTGCCACGCTGGAGTGCACCATCTCTGGAAGCCCTGAACTCAAAGTGAAATGGTTCAAAGACGGCAAGGAGATGATTGGTGGTCGTAAATATAAAATAGCAGTTAAGGAGAACACTGCCATTTTAAAGATTCTCGCTGCAGATAAAGGTGACACTTCCGAGTACAAGATGGAAGTGTCCAATAAAGTTGGAAAAGACGAGTGCACGTGCTCGGTTACAGTTATAGGTCGGTTTTAGTCAATAAAACATCATTAATATCAATTTGTCCGTTCAGCACAAGTGGAGCTTGTAATATGTTTGATATACTTCCCTACACAGATCGTGCAGTTCCCCCGTCCTTCACCAAAACTCTAAAGAAAGTGAATGGGAGCATTGGCAGTAATATCACGTTGGATTGCAGGCTTGCTGGATCTCAGCCGATGGCTCTGTCTTGGTACAAAGACAATAAAGAAATCCACAGCGATGCAAAATATAAGCTTGATTTCAGTGAGAGTACAGCCTCTGTGACAATAACTGGCCTGGATCAGAGCGATGGTGGAGTTTATACATGCAAAGCTTCTAATGATGCTGGAGAAAAAGAAACCAGTGGTACTCTTTCCATCAAAGGTCAGAGAAGCTGCATTACCTCAAGTTAAGCAGTAGCCATTAGAGATCAGCACAGGCTTAGTGACAGGGTGTGAACTGATCTGCTGTATTTCTTCCCAAATGCCTCCAGAACCTCCAGCCTTTACCTCGAAACCTGAATCTCTTGATGCATCCCCGGGATCAAACATTGTCTTAAAGTCTGACTTTACGGGATCGGCTCCACTTACCGTTAAATGGTTCAGAGAGGAGAAAGAGATTTTCACTGGAGGAAAGTATTTCATAAAGAAAGACTCTTCTTCCAGCTCCCTGGAACTTCATTCTGTGAAACCCAGTGACTCTGCCAAATACACATGCCAAGTATCCAACGACGCTGGGAAGGTTGACTGCACTGCAGCGCTCTTCATAAAAGGTGCAGAAAAGCTGCTGCTTTCGTTCTTTCTTTAAAAAGTGTTAAAAAGCTGTTTTCCTTTAATTAACCTCTTTATCGCATCTATAATTGTTACTCTTGATTTACAGAAGCCCCAACATTTACGATGAAGCTTGAACCTTCAAAGCTGCTGAAAACAGGACAACCTCTGGAGTTGTCCTGCAAAGTGCAGGGCACTCCTGTTATTACTGTCACATGGTTTAAAAATGGCTCAGAAATGGTTTCAGACCGCAGACACAACATGACCTTCGACGGCTCGTTGGCCACTCTGGAGGTTGAGAGTTGCTCTGTAGAGGATAGTGCAGATTACGTCTGTGTGGCATCCAGCGAGGCCGGCAGGGAGCAGTGCAGCAGCTCAGTAACAGTGAAAGGTTGGTTCACTCTTCACCGGTCAAAGACTCCGTTTCCAACACCAAGATTAAACCTGGTTCAAGACGCAGGTCTTCATCTAGGTTTAGTTTGTGAAACTTGCTAATTGATTTTACTCTTGTTGCTGTCCTCAAACTTTACATTTGTTTCCATCTAAAGTCTGGTCCACATGGTTTTCTCACATGTTCGGTGCTGCATGCATTATATGGACGTCAGTGCAGGGTTTAGTTACTCTCCATCAAAGCAGAGACTCCCAGTAACAGTATATTTGGAAGAAGCTAGGAGGGGTTTCTGGCCTGACTGTTGGTGTAAATGGTTGTCAGCCATGTTATTAACAGCTGACCTTTTCGTACAGATGTTTAATGGACAGACTGCATTAACTGACAGTGTGAACTTGTGTTTTGAATATGCCGTGCCATGCTAACCCTATAAATTAAAAATAAAGAGCCAAGCAGGTTATTCAAATGCTCTGAAATGTCCATGTTTTATGAGCGTGCGTTGGCCCTTTGCCTCAGCAGATGGTCTAAAGAAATAAACCCATGACACATTACCTGTAACCCAAGGATTACCAGTCATTTAAAAACCACTGTCTGCTACAGGTTCACTGTTACTCAGAAAACCTAGAAACTAGAGTTTAAAGGCTAAATGAACTCTGTGGACCAGACTTCCCACATCAGACTAGAATTATTTCTTCATGCCTGTAAATGTAATTTTATTCTCTGTTTTGTAGAGCCTCCATTGTTTGTGAGGCCTTTTGAATCAGCTGAGCTTGTTACGGAGTCTGAGATTATCTTGGAAGCAATCGTTTCAGGTTCCCCTTCATTTGAAATAAGCTGCTTCCTCAACGATAAGCTGATCAGAAATGACAAAAGACATAAAATCAGTGTGGAAAATGATACAATCACTCTTCAGATCTCACACTGTGAGGCCGGAGACGAAGGAACGTACAAGTGCACTGTTTCAAACGATGTTGGGGAGACATCTTGCTCTTGCCAGATTTCTCTAAAAGGTTTGTGGCGGGAGAGTTTGCCTCGCTGCATGCGTCCACTTTCATTGCAAAGGTTTAGGATTTCAATTTCATTTAGACTGCCTGTGAATGATGACAACATATGTGTTTTCTCACTAGAACCACCATCATTTGTTCAAAGACTAAAGGATATGTCCTGTATTGTGGGCTCTGAAATCTCCATGAAGTGTATGTTGTCTGGGTCACTTCCCATGACTTTGTCCTGGATCAAGGACGATCGTGAGCTTACGGAAGACGAGCATTTTAAGATGTCCTGTGAAACCAAAAGTGCCATGTTGAATTTGAAAAATGCTCAGTTGTCACATGGCGGGAAATATGTCTGTCAGGCGCAGAATAAAGCCGGGACCCAGAGATGTGCCGCGGTGCTCATAGTGACAGGTTTGTACGATGTTCGTGGGTCTCAATCGTCCGCTTTTGCCTTTGTGTCGAGCTTCCGCTTCATCTGTCGCATGCAGCGCAGTGATCAAAACTAAGTTACCTTTGAATCATTTTGTTATCGCAGAGCCAGCAAGTATTTCAGAGCACCCAAAGTCCATCAGTGTAACCCATGGCGACCCAGCCAGACTTGAATGCAGGTTTTCAGGCACTAAACCGCTGAAGGTCAGATGGCTTAAGGCGGGAAAGGAGCTGCCGTCAGGACAGAGATACAGAATACAGAGCACAGACACGAGCTCTGTGCTCAAGATGATAAAAACAGAGAAGAGTGACGGCGGTGACTACACTGTCGAAGTTTCAAATGTTGCTGGGCACAGTTCGTGTGACGCATCAGTCACAGTCTTAGGTCGGTCCGCCCAAAGCTTTGTTGAATCTGTTTGCAGTTCTTTCTACAGTCACCCTGACAATGTTTTTTTCAACTTGTATGTAATAGATCAGATTATTAAACCGTCCTTCACAAGGAAGCTGACAGAGACTGAAGGTATAAAAGGATCGTGTGCTCATCTAGAGTGCCTCGTGTCTGGTTCTCTGCCGATGACGATACAGTGGTACAAAGATGAAACAGAGATCCAGACTTGTCAAAAATATAAATGCACGTTTTTCGAAAATGTTGCTTTCCTGGAAATCGGCTGTCTCGACAGTAGAGACAGTGGGAGCTACACTTGTGTGGCTGAAAACGAGGGAGGATCTGCCCAGTGCTCCGGGATTTTGTCTGTTAAAGGTTTGATCTCATGCATCATCAGTATTTTTTCATAGTTTTTTACAGACTTGTGTTGTATGACAGCATTTTGGGGTTTTTCCACCAACAGAAGCACCACGCATTCTTGAAAAACCGGACTCCAAGAATGCGTTGCCTGGATCAAAGGTTAGGTTTACTCTTCATGTCTCTGGCACACCTCCGCTCGCCATCAAATGGTTTAAAAACAAAAAAGAAATCCTTCCGAGTGCCGAGTGCTCTGTAATCAAAGACAGCACTTCAAGCTCCCTAGAGCTCTTCTCTGCCAAAACCTCTGACTCTGGAGAGTATGTCTGTGAAGTTCAGAACGCTGTGGGCTCCGCTTCATGCAAGGCAGCGCTCTTTGTAAAAGGTTAATATTGGAGCTTCATCCTTTTTCTTCACTTTGAAAATGATGATCGTCTTTAAGTCGCTTCTTCATGTATTTATTTCAGAGCCCCCGTTTTTCACTGAAAAACCTGAAGCGGTGTCATTAGTGAGTGTCGGAGGCAGCAAGGTGTTTGAGTGTAAGGTTGCTGGTACCCCAGAGATCTCCATGAAATGGTTCAAAGATGGAGTTCAGATTCGCCAAAGCCTCAAATACAAGATATCATTTTTTACCTCTGTTGCCGTTTTAGAGGTTTGTGTAGTTAGTCAACAAGACAGCGGGAAATACTTCTGTGAGGCCTCCAACGAAGCAGGCACAGAGACTTGCATTTTTGAGCTTGTAGTGAAAGGTTGGTTTTCTTTTCTCTGTTTATGTGAAAATTAAGGTCAAGTTAAATGCTAAGTTCTGTACGTTATTATCTTTAATTGATCCAAAGGTTTCTTTAGAGCGCTTTGCTTTGTTATTTTCAGAGCCTCCGTCATTTGTTGAAGAGCTATCATCTCTGGAAGTCGTTAAAGGTTCCACGGCAGCGTTTGCTAGCAAAGTTGCAGGAAGTGCTCCGTTCAGTGTCACGTGGTCTAAAGATAAAAAGGCAATTTTATCCAGCCAAAAGTACATTATTGTTGATAGTGAAAATGTGGGCTTAAAAATCCAGGACTGCGACGTGGATGATGTGGGCACCTACCAGTGCGTGGTAGCCAATGAGGTTGGGAGCTGCTCTGGCTCGGTGGTGTTGTCTCTGAAAGGTTGGTTTTATCGATGACTCCACACTCAATGTGTTATATATGCTCTGGTATTACAACAGTGTCTTCTCCCTGTTAGTGCCTCCAAAGTTTATTGAGAAGATAAAGAGTGTCTCCACTGTTGTGGGAGATGCTGTAGTGTTTCGTTGCTCTGTGGAAGGGCCCCTGCCACTCTCTGTGCTATGGAAAAAAGATGAAAACTGGATCCAAGATGATCCGAAGATCAAGCAAATTTTCCAGAACAAAGAGGCCACTCTCAGGGTTCTTGCTTGTGAGGCTATTCACAGGGGGAAATATACCTGCCATGTTGTAAATGAGGCTGGGCAAGATGTGTGTTCAGCAACACTGACTGTGCAAGGTACATTTACTTCAAGCAGTTTATCTAATATTAGGCTGATTTCCAACTACACCAAGAAGTACATTTACTTCTTCTTTTTTTTGGCATCTTAGAACCACCAACGATTGAAGAGAAACCGGAGGTTGTTAAAGTGACTTGTGGAGATCCAGTTAGCTTTGAATGCAGGGTAGCTGGAACTCCTCATATAAGTGTGAGATGGATCAAAGATGGCAACGAGCTCCATTCGAGCAGAAAGCATAATCTCTGCTATGGGGGCAACCTCAGTAGACTTAACATAATGTCCTCTCAGCTGGAAGACGGTGGAGAGTACATGTTTGAAGCCCAAAATGCAGTTGGGACTTGCAGATGTAAAGTGAAGCTGGTTGTTTTGGGTTGGTAGACACCTTTCACTCTTGGTTTACAGCTTTACATGTGTATTTACCACAGTACAAATAGAAGACACGGATATTTGAAGGTTTTCTCTGACATTAATTATCTTCTGCTATCATCTTAAACAGAAGAGTTGATTCCTCCCACATTCATTAAGAAATTAACAAACATTCAAGGAATCATGGGTTCAGTGGTGACCATGGAGTGCAGAGTAACCGGTTCGCTTCCTCTGACTGTTGAATGGAGCAAAGGGAAACAAAAGATTCCAGAGAGCTCCAAGTACAAACTTGTACACACTGAAAATAGAGTCTTGCTGGAGTTAAAACTTACTGGGAGTGTTGACACGGGAGAGTACTCCTGCAAAGTTACCAACAAAGCAGGCAGCTGTGTGTGCAGTGGAGTCCTCACAGCTAAAGGTTAGCATTCAAAGTTTATGGGTTTATCAGCTCACGGGCTCTTAGTCACATATCATCATCATTCTTCTCTGTTGGTTTTAGTGCCGCCAAGATTCATAGATGAGCTTGAGTCTCAGGCTGTTATTCCCAAGTCTGACGTATTCTTCAAAAGTGTCTTTGAAGGGACGTCTCCGTTTATGGTGAAATGGTTCAAGGATGGCATCGAACTCATCACTGGGCCATCGTGCAGAGTTAGACTGGAGAAATATTCCTCCTCTGTAGAGCTCTGCTCAGTGGGCACTCTGCAGTCTGGGATTTATTCCTGCCAAGTTAGCAACGAAGCAGGCACGGCGAAAAGTGCGGCACAGTTACTGGTGAAAGGTTGGACTATTCTTTTTTTGTCCACCATCATCGCCGTGCATTTAACTCCATCTTTTTTCTCCATTTTTCACAGCTCTTCCCTGTCTTCATGTGTCTTTTCTTTGCTTTATTGCCTTCCAGAAATATCTGTGTTATTTTCAGAGTCCCCTGCCACAGCAGCCAGTCATGTGTCTGCATCCTCCATCCGTCCCATTACTGCTCAAGTGCTACTTTATGCTGAGGATAGTAACTTGATATTTTTCTTACTTTGCAGAACCACCTCAGTTTGTCCTGAAACTGCCTCCCACTACGTCTGTGAAACAGTACGAGGGACACTGCTTTGAATGCAAGGTCACCAGTGTACAGTCCCTGAGAATATGCTGGTACAAAAATGACCAACAGATAACTGATGGAGGCAACTATAAAACAATGTGTGTTGACTCAACTGCATACCTCCAGATCTCCAATGCAACATTTGACGATAACGGAGTTTACTCTTGTGAGGCTCATAATGATGCTGGCAGTGCAAGCTGCAGCAGCGTTCTCACAGTTCAAGGTCAGCTTTTGAGTGGAGACTTGGCTTGTGGATTTTGCCTCCTCTAAACATATGTTGCATGAGGAAAAGGATAATTCCCTGTGTTGGAAGCTTGGATTCACTGTTTCTTTCTGCAATCGTGTCTTTTTTCTTCAAAATCAAATTTGTCTTCCAGTATGTTGGGGAACACGATGTAACCTACTCTCCTATCATGAATATTAGGACTTTGTCTCTCATGATGAGCTTTCCTTTTTCTGTTTAACCCTCCACAGTATTTCTATTGGTTGAAACTGTCCGGATGAACTGCTTGCTTCGTGTCACGTATTCATGAATGCTTCATCTGTTAATATATCTCATTGTATTTTCTAGAGTCCCCATCCTTTGTTAAAACTCCAAGCCCTGTGGAGGGCATAAAAGGCAAAGATGCTAGTCTGCATTGTGAGATGTCTGGCACCCCACCCTTCCAGGTTAACTGGTACAAAGACAACAGGCCACTAAAGGAGGATAGAAAATGCAAGATGGTCAATGTGGGCAGTTTTGCTACACTTCATATTATAAAGCTGGAGCAAGATGACGCCGGGCTTTATGAGTGCAGGGCGTCGAACAATGTAGGAAGTAAATCGTGCCAAACTGCCATTACTCTGAAAGGTTAGTGTAATATTAGTGGCCATTTCCTCAAAGCTTGGCCACGTGCGATCACCTCTCCTCATCTGTGATCTTTCCATCACTGTTCAGAACCACCAGTGTTTGTGGAGAAACTGGTCGATCAGTCAGTGAGACTCGGTCAGCAGCTGACGCTGACAGCTACCGTGCACGGCTCAGAGCCACTGACTGTGTCTTGGGTTCAGGACAAAGATCATATTCTCAGAGAAGATGACAACAGGAGGGTCACCTTTGAAAACAATGTGGTTGCTCTCGTAGTGCCCCAGGCTGACTCAACCACAGCCGGTAAATACACCTGCCAGCTGAGGAACGACTGTGGAGCGGTCGAGTCGGTCTCTCAAGTGACGGTTCTAGGTTTGTAGAACTCCAAAGTTAATTGCATTACCATTGCAATTAATTACCAGGATTTCTTTAGCCTAATGCGTTCTTGCATAATCTTTAGAACCTGCTGCTATCGTGGAAAGCCCGGAGCTGTTGAATGTGAAGTCAGGAGAAACTGTATCTCTTGAGGTAACAGTATCTGGCTCACCAGAACTGAAAACTACATGGTTCAAGGGCAACAAAGAGCTCTCTGCTAATGCAAAGTATCATCTGAGCTTCAAAAAGCAGCTTGCCACCCTGAAGATTCTGTCTGCTGACAAAGCAGATGCCGGAGAATACACACTACAGGTTACGAACCATGTTGGAACATCCTCTTGCAAAATTAAGCTCACAGTCTCAGGTTTGTGTTTTTTGTGTTCGCTGCCGATTTGTGAGCTTGTCTTCTTCTTGTCTTCTTCTTGTCTTCTTCTTTTTATAAGCAATCAGCTCTCCATGTTATTGTTTCTTTACAATAGATAAGTTGATTCCACCGAGTTTCATAAAGAAGCTGAGAGATACCCACCTTGTTGTGGGTAAGCCTGGTGAGATGGAGTGTAAGATTACCGGTTCTGCTCCTTTAACAACTTCCTGGTTCCATAATGGCCAAGAGATAAACAGTGGGCCAAACTATGACATTAGCAGCGTGGATAATGTGCGCACGCTGAGAATTCCAATGATTAAGACGTCAGATTCTGGCAAATACACATGTAAAGCTGTGAACGCTGCAGGAGCCAGTGAGACAAGTGCTTCAATGAATGTGACAGGTCAGTAATCCAGAGACCAGAATATTTTAAACATGGTTTCCTCAGCCAGGATCAGAGGTTTGGTTACAACAAATCTTTTTTATTTGAATCTTTTTATTGGAAACCAGAACCACCATCTTTTTCTGAAACGCCCGAGGCTCGAGAAACGTTGCCTGGCCAAAGTGTGTCTTTCTTGGCTAAAGTGAAAGGCAGCATTCCCATAAAGGTCAAATGGTTCAGGGGAGCCAAGGAAATGCAGCACGGGAGAGGCTGCGAGATCTCCCTGAAGGACGATGTCGCCACGCTGGTGCTTCATAAAGTTGAAAAGTCTCATGCAGGAGAGTACACCTGCCAGATCGTTAATGCTGCAGGAAAGGACAGCTGCTCAGTTTTTCTGTTTGTGAAAGGTTTGTCAGCATTATATATGCCCGTCTTACAATTCATGCACTGATTTTTATTTAACTGACGGTGGACTTACCCCTCTCAGAGCCAGTCCACTTTGTGAAGAGGCTGAGGGACATTTCCATTGAAAAGAACAAGCCTCTGAGGCTCGAGGTCGCATATGCTGGAACCCCAACTGTAAATGTAACCTGGGAAAAGGATGGTAAACTCATCCAAGCCTCTTATCTGCACAATATGATCACCACAGACACCTCTTGCATCCTGGAGGTTCTGAACTCTGAAAGGATGGAGGCAGCTGGTAGATACTATTGTGAGGTAGACAATGGAGCTGGAAGTGACAAATGTGAAGCACAAGTTACAATCCTAGGTAAAATGATTGGTTGTGTATGTAAATGTGGATCCCTCTGTTTTTCTTATGGTGACTTATGACCATACATTCATTAATTTGGCCATTTTTTTAAACACATTTTTCATTTATATGTTTACACATCTGTACTTAAACGAAACCCCCCTAATGTCTCACTTTAGAACCACCATACTTTGTTGACAAGCTGGAGCCAGTGGAGGTAACTATGGGTGAGGCGGTGACCTTAGAGTGCAGGATTGCAGGAACTCCTGTGATCTCTGTCGCCTGGTTTAAAGAGGATGGAAAGCTGCGCAAGTCCAACAGTTGCTCAATGGACTTTGCAGATGGCGTTGCCACTTTGCAACTGTTCAAATCTACCAAGTCTGATCACGGTGAATATATCTGCAAGGCCGAGAACCGGGTTGGTTCAGCCTCCACCAGCTGTAGCGTGACTGTGAAAGGTGATGCTCACGTTCACTACTTCATTTTTCTACATTAATGAAGAATGAATGAAGCCTGGTGTGACTGTCAATATTTTAAAGACATTTTTCGAGCTGTTTTGTTGAGTTACAAGGAATCTTAAAAGTCAACAACGAGCTTTAATCCAGGTTCATATTTAGAGGTTTCCCACCTTTCAGACAGTCAAAGGAGCTGGCAAAGAAAAGCGTCTGGACTTCTTTAAGTTGCTTGAAGACGTTTCACCTCTCATCCGAGAAGCTTCTTCAGTTCTAAGGTCAAATGGTGGAGAGTCCCAGATATAAACGTGCAGATGGACTGCTGAGTCTTGTCCTGTGACTCAGCACAGGACAAGACTCAGCAGTCAGCAGTCCATCTGCATTAAGGACCCACACCCAGACACCTTGGCTCAGGCGATTAGAGGATCATCAGGGGGTCCTTTTGTCCCTCTGTGGGGGGAAACTCCCACTAGGTTTATATCTGGGACTCTCCACCATTTGACCTTAGAACTGAAGAAGCTTCTCGGATGAGAGGTGAAACGTCTTCAAGCAACTTAAAGAAGTCCAGACGCTTTTCTTTGCAAGCTCCTTTGACTACGATGACCTGGATGACTGAGAACCTTCACAGACATACACCTTTCAGACAAGTACTGCAAAAGAGCAGCCGGGACCCGCTGTTGTTTAGGAACACAGTATTTAGTCATCGAGGTCTAAAAACTGATCTTAGTTTATCTCCAATATTTCATAACCTCCATCACGTATTATTATTAGATGGCAGCATGACAGGGGAAGCGTGAACCAAACCATTGTTTCTCAGAACCAGCTTGCCTGGCATGATGTTGAGACTGAAGATATACAGTGGGGCAAAAAAGTATTTAGTCAGCCACCGATTGTGCAAGTTCCCCCACCTAAAATGATGACAGAGGTCAGTAATTTGCACCAGAGGTACACTTCAACTGTGAGAGACAGAATGTGAAAAAAAAATCCATGAATCCACATGGTAGGATTTGTAAAGAATTTATTGGTAAATCAGGGTGGAAAATAAGTATTTGGTCAATAACAAAAATACAACTCAATACTTTGTAACATAACCTTTGTTGGCAATAACAGAGGTCAAACGTTTACTATAGGTCTTTACCAGGTTTGCACACACAGTAGCTGGTATTTTGGCCCATTCCTCCATGCAGATCTTCTCGAGAGCAGTGATGTTTTGGGGCTGTCGCCGAGCAACACGGACTTTCAACTCCCGCCACAGATTTTCTATGGGGTTGAGGTCTGGAGACTGGCTAGGCCACTCCAGGACTTTCAAATGCTTCTTACGGAGCCACTCCTTTGTTGCCCGGGCGGTGTGTTTTGGATCATTGTCATGTTGGAAGACCCAGCCTCGTTTCATCTTCAAAGTTCTCACTGATGGAAGGAGGTTTTGGCTCAAAATCTCACGATACATGGCCCCATTCATTCTGTCCTTAACACGGATCAGTCGTCCTGTCCCCTTGGCAGAAAAACAGCCCCATAGCATGATGTTTCCACCCCCATGCTTCACAGTAGGTATGGTGTTCTTGGGATGCAACTCAGTATTCTTCTTCCTCCAAACACGACGAGTTGAGTTTATACCAAAAAGTTCTACTTTGGTTTCATCTGACCACATGACATTCTCCCAATCCTCTGCTGTATCATCCATGTGCTCTCTGGCAAACTTCAGACGGGCCTGGACATGCACTGGCTTCAGCAGCGGAACACGTCTGGCACTGCGGGATTTGATTCCCTGCCGTTGTAGTGTGTTACTGATGGTGACCTTTGTTACTTTGGTCCCAGCTCTCTGCAGGTCATTCACCAGGTCCCCCTGTGTGGTTCTGGGATCTTTGCTCACCGTTCTCATGATCATTTTGACCCCACGGGATGAGATCTTGCGTGGAGCCCCAGATCGAGGGAGATTATCAGTGGTCTTGTATGTCTTCCATTTTCTGATGATTGCTCCCACAGTTGATTTTTTCACACCAAGCTGCTTGCCTATTGTAGATTCACTCTTCCCAGTCTGGTGCAGGTCTACAATACTTTTCCTGGTGTCCTTCGAAAGCTCTTTGGTCTTGGCCATGGCGGAGTTTGGAGTCTGACTGTTTGAGGCTGTGGACAGGTGTCTTTTATACAGATGATGAGTTCAAACAGGTGCCATTCATACAGGTAACGAGTGGGGGACAGAAAAGCTTCTTACAGAAGACGTTACAGGTCTGTGAGAGCCAGAGATTTTCCTTGTTTGAGGTGACCAAATACTTATTTTCCACCCTGATTTACGAATAAATTCTTTACAAATCCTACCATGTGATTCATGGATTTTTTTTTCACATTCTGTCTCTCACAGTTGAAGTGTACCTCTGGTGCAAATTACTGACCTCTGTCATCATTTTAAGTGGGGGAACTTGCACAATCGGTGGCTGACTAAATACTTTTTTGCCCCACTGTACTTGAAACACTCAGAGGACAATTCCCATGTTTATGTAACATGAGTAAGTGAATAATTCATAGATGCCAGTCATGTCAGAAAAGGTGGTGCACGAACCGACACGTTTCCTTTGTCTGATTCCCAGATATCGTTCTAATTACTGATGCTGTTGAACGTAGCTGTTTCCTGTGGTCTGCGGACCAAATGCACCTACATTTCCCGAGGTTCAGATTGCAGCACAGAAATTGGCCCTTGGCTGTGGCTTCACCTAAACTGTGGGACATTAGACCCTCTCAAAACCCACCTGAAAACCCTCTTATTCTCTTTTAAACCAGAATAAGTTCTGATTACTTTTGTGCTATTTCTTACTCAGATCTTCTCGATTTATATTTACTTTCTTAAATTCTGTTGTCTTTCGTCATCTTTTTATGCCATTTGACTTTTCTTTTAGATGTTCAGCACTTTGGTGACCAGCTGTTGTTTTAAAAGTGCTATGGAAATAAATTTGACTTCCTGTGATCTTGTGCTTGCCAGGAATAACCAGGATGATATTTTAGGGTGTTTTCAGTGGCTGGCTCTGCGTTTTGTAGGTCTTGAAATAAGGATTTACTAAGCTTTGAGAGATGCCTGAACCCAACGCTGTAATGGTCAGATAATGGTCTTTTTCATAGACAGGAGATTTTTGGTCAGAATCTCTGATGTTTAGTATTTCTTTGCTTTTGTGTTGTTTGTATGTTGTCTCGTGTGCTGTGCCAGACTGTTTTCCTGAAGCTGTGGTAAAGGCCCAGTGGCCTGAACTCTGAAATTGGAATCTCAAACGTCCAATGCCACTGCATGGCATGATTTTCTTTCTTATTTTCTTCCCCACTAACAGAGCGCAAAGTTCCTCCAAACTTCACCAGGAAGCCTTCGGAGTCCATGGTGGATTCAGTGGGTAAGACCGTAAAGATCGAGGGCCGCGTGTCCGGCTCTCAACCTCTGACCGTCTCCTGGTACAAGGACAACAGTGAGATCCGCGCCTCGGACAAATATGATATCAGCTTCAAAAACAACATGGCCGTGCTGTGTGTCAGAGACTCCACGGGCTCTGACGGTGGTGTTTACACCTGCGAGGCCTCCAATGAAGCTGGCAAAGCTTCTTGTAACGTTTCTCTCACAGTAACAGGTAGGACTCTGTCATTTAGGGTTTGATCCTTTTCATCCATGCAGCTAAAGCTGATGTGACTCTACAGGATGTTCTTATGGCACTAAAGATTAAAACCTGACACTTTCATTGTATTAAAGTAATGTTTGGGTAATATTTTACTATATTTGGGTAAAATTATGACTGTTTTCAGGATGAAATACAGTGACTTGTTTTGCTAGCATCCATCCAGATTTTGGATGAGCTTCAGTTGAACAGTTCACTGTTTGAAAGGTGAGTATTTGTAGTCATCCTGTCGGTTTTTGCACCACTTCTCCAGAGACTGGCCAGGCTCCCAAATTTGATGTTCCTCTGGAACCAGTGACTGTGGGTGAAGGGGAGAAGCTGAGCCTCCAGTGCCACGTCACCGGCTCTACTCCAATAACCATCCAGTGGATGAAGGACAGGAGAGAGCTCGTGTCCAGCGGAAACACCAAAATCTCATTTGTTGGTGGAACGGCCAATCTGGAGATCAGCCAGGTGTCAAAGACGGATGCTGGAGATTACCTGTGCAAGGCCAGCAATGCAAATGGCACTGACTTCTGCAAGTCTAAAGTCACTGTAAAAGGTAATCAATCTGTGGTTCCAGTTTTGTGTAATGAACACATCTTGTCTCTCCACTGCACGGTGGAAAAAGTTTACTGCAGTGACGCTAAACCAACATTACTACAAAAATTTGTTTTTAAAGTAGTTTTATGAGAAATGCAGTGTGTTTATTTCTTTCTGCTGGTTATGTGTTTCACAACATTTAACTCGCTTTCAAATCCTTTCAGATAAAGGTGCCAAGGCCACACCCGCTGAGGCTGCTGCCCCGGCTGCAGCCGCCCCGGTCAAAAGGCTCGACAATCTGTTCTTCATCGAGGAACCCCAAAATGTTTCTGTCACAGAGAGTAAGCACGAGGAGCCAAGGCTCTTTTTGCTTTCATTCATTATCTCTAGAGGTTTCCATTTTGAACTAACTTTGTGTATTTCTGATTTTGGCAGAGGGTACTGCAACCTTTATCGCCAAGATTGGAGGTGACCCAATCCCCAGTGTGAAGTGGATGAAGGGCAAATGGAGACAGATCACCCCCGGTGGTCGAATCTCCATTGAGCACAAGGGCCAGGATGCCAAACTGCAGATCAGAGAAGTGACCAAGTCTGATTCTGGTCATTACAGATGTGTTGCCACCAACAAACATGGAGAAATTGAGAGTGGCGCTGATATGGAGGTGACCAAAAAGGAGGACATGGGAGAAGTGGGAGACTTAAGAACGAGGCTCAAGAAGTAAGGCATTAAGATATGGTGGCAGTGTGAAATTCTTTTCTGTGCAATGACTCTTTTATCAAAGCCTAAAGGAAACAGAAGAGCAAACATCTGGGAGATATCTGCTGCAGAGAAAAATCTGATCGTGTATTTTCTATTTTCAGGACTCCTTCCAAGCAGAAGAGTCCCAAGAAAGAAGAAGAGGTCAACATTGTAGAGCTGCTTAGAGGTCACGACCCCAAAGACTATGAGAGGATCCTGCGGGAACATGGAATCCATGACTACCGTGCCATCCTGCAGGCCGTGGAGTTCCTGAAGAAGGAGAAGGAGATGGAGACTGGAAGAGCGGTAAGACAGAAAGTGTCAGCACAGATGACCGGACATCGTCCCACACAGCTGTGCGAGAAAGCAGCAGAATTAATATCACGGTTCAGCTTTACAATCTGTGAGCAGGAAGGATGGAGACAAAAACTTTACCTCTAAATTCCACCAAATAAAGGGCCAAATGGCCCTCAAGTCTCTGGACTGGTAACACACTTCTGGGGTCTCCAACATTTTGGCTTAGCTGTGGAGCAGATAACATTTTACCAACTTTAGTCTGCAAAGACTCACTACCAGCAGCTTCTTAGTGTGAGTATTTGGTCCCATATTTAAACTAAAACCTACTTTGGGCTTCTCCAAAAGTTGATTGTGTTCATCTGGACGTAGCATTTTGTGGGAGAAACGTTTCGTCACAGGTGACTTCTTCAGTCTCAGCTGACTGCAGCTTTCAATCTTATAAACAGGGGCTTATACTTTGGGGCTTCTTAGTCTGAGTTGAGAGCAGCTGAACATAGTTGATGCAGACAAATAAGGCAGAAAAACAGGCATTTTACATACATTTCTCCTTTCCAGAGAGAAATTTGGACATGGCGAACATGATCTCTCCATATTTTTGCTACCAAGCCAACTTTATCTGTAAAGCGCTTTAAAACAGCAAGTGCTGACCAAAGAGCCGAGAACAGAATAATGCAAAGTTAAACAAATTAATAATAATAATAAAAAAAAGCACGAATGAATACCATGGAAAACGTTCACTGAAGCGACTCTCACAGACTCGCCTCTGTCCTGCTGCAGGAGGTCGAGCGTGGGGCACGAGTCGAAGAAGAGGACATGGCCCGACTCATCGAGCAGCTAGAGGGACGCGTCAGCATGGAGGTAAAAGCACCATCTGATTATGAGGCCATTAAAAAAGAAACACATCGTGTTTCAGTATATAATACTGATAATCAATGATTTGACAATACACAACTTCAGACGTTGATGAAACGGGTTTTTCTTGCTCAGCCCGTCTCTGTGATGGAGGACATCACTGACCAAACCATCACGGAGAACCAGAGCGCCACCTTTGAGTGCCAGATTAAGATCAACTACCCAGAGATCACGCTCACCTGGTACAAAGGCACCCAGAAACTGGACAACAGCGAAAAGTACGACATCAGCAGCGTGGGGGACCGCCATTATCTGAAAATCAAGAACTGCCAGGTCAAAGATCAGGGCAACTACCGCGTGGTGTGCGGTCCTCACATCTCCAACGCCAAACTGACGGTCACGGGTAAGAGTCCCGATGTCTGTCTCTGTGTGTCTGTAACACGTCCTCACGTCCAGCTCTTCCATTTTATTATCAGGAGCTGCTCGTAAGACAGGTAAGAAGGATGAGTCCAAACTAACACGACTCAGACTGACCTCTTTGAACCTGAAGGTTCTCCTCTACCTTTGATTGTGTGTTTGTTTCTGTGTCTTTTATACTGAATCTGATTTTAGTCCAAAGAGGAGTCTTAACACTTAACTGTGACATCAGATCTTCACATTTAAAATGCATATTTCGGAGGCTCACTCTTATTGTCTGGTTCTAGTCGATCAAATTCAGTTCACTAAAAGCATCCGAAGCATCGAGGTCAACGAACGCCACTCTGCCACCTTCGAGTGCGAGTTGTCCTTCGACAACGCTACCGTCACGTGGTACAAAGACTCGTGGGAGCTTAAAGAAAGCCCAAAATATAACTTCAGGACTGAAAGCCGACGGCACTTTATGACAATCCACAACGTAACTGCAGAGGACGAAGGTTTGTTACACGGCCAAGTTACTGTTTCCTCCGGAGACACTTTTCTAATAACTAGACCGAAGTTTAGCTGTTTGAGTAGTATGCATCATCTTATAGATTAACATCTGGTTTCAATGGTGCACAATAAAAGTATTAAAAAATAAAAGTATTCTATTCATGTCATTGAATGCATTTAGCCGGTTTAGCTGAGACTTTTACTAACTCACACGACAAACAGCAGCTGAATATCTTTAAGCTAAAAAGATGTTACTGGGCGCTTGAAGGGGGCGTTTTCTGCTGTTCCAGAGATTCATAGTAAACACAAAGTTCTTACTGTTTCCAGCACCTTTTGGTATTTTATCAGTTTTATTCATACAGCACCAAAACACAACAACAGTGACCTGAAGGCGCTTTATATCGTAAAGTAGACAGAAAAACCCAACAATCATATGAATGCTTTTAAGGAGAGGGGCAGTAAAAACGTAAAAGATCTGAAATTACTTTTAAGTGGACAGAAGATAAAGTAAGAAATAATTGAGAATTTTTAGGAGGGGGCTAGATCCCCTGTAAAATGATTTTTGGTACATGAAAAACTAATCGGACCAAAAGAAGACATGTCTGCTAACCTGGCAGCGTTCTGCCTCAGCTGCACTCAATGCAAAGATGTGAAATCCGAGTAAAGGTGCGGTCACGCCAGCGTCGTTTAGTGGATCCTCTCTAATGAACCCTGCTGCTCATCGACCCGCCGTCGTGTTACAGCCGAGTCGCTGCCAGAGTTCAGAGCAGCACGTGCACTTTCATTTAGCTTCTTAAACCTTGAGCTTTACTCAGTAATCAGTTTTTATTTTTATTTTTTGAATGAACCGAACAGGATACCGTCGAATAGCAAAACTAGCCAGCGACCATATTTGTGTACCAGCAGCGGTGTAGCATATATGACTTGTGCTTGATTAGCTCTGTGAAACAAATTTAACTTCACCTGGACATTGCTGCAGTGCTGACGTTTAGAGAGGATTAGCTGGGCTCTCTGGTGTGACCGGCCTTTACCGCGATCTCTTCTGTAAGTGTCTGAGGGACAGTTTGGCCTGAACTCCGTGATGTTTCCCCATCAGGCGTGTACTCGGTGATTGCTCGCCTGGAGCCACTGGGAGAAGCTCGAAGCACAGCCGAGCTTTACCTGTCAGGCAAAGGTCTGTAGTTTTTTACACATTACTGACATCAGCGTGATGTCAGCAGCGTGATGTCAGCAGCGTGATGTCAGCAGCTACAATAACGCTTCTGTACTTTGTCCTTTCACAGAAATTGAGTTAGGGAGGGTTCCTCAGGGTGAGTATCTTAAAAAGTGCAGCAAATAAACGACAGTAAACCTGAACACGTCTTCACCTGCAAACTCAGACGCAGGTTTACGATTTTACAACACGGTCGAGGTCGCACTGGTCATTTCACCGACACCATTTTCACAAGAATCACGGCTCATCTATTTGCGAGGCTCCTTGACGTCTCATTGGTTTGTGCAGTACAGCCGACCACTGCCAACAAGGCTTTCACTGTGACTGTGACTGTGGGGTTTCACTGCATCATCTTACACGTCACTGTGATTTCAGTCATACCGAACAAGTGTTAAGTTTTACTGTCAGAACATAAAAACAACAATAATAATAGTAATAATAATAATAATAATCAAAGTGTTTGTGGCTGAACCTTCAGATGTCCCCGACACAGCCGTTCATGTGTCAGAGGCAGAGTCTATGCTCGTGTGCAGAGGTGAGTCTGGTTCAAACTGATCAGGATTTCAGTGACTCTGCTCGTTTCTGTCATTTACACGATTGTTTTCTGCCACAAGATTCCTCCGAGTTTGATCACTTTGAGGAGAGAACAGAAGTGAGAGGTACAGCAGTCGCCACTCCCCAAGATCAGCTCTAACCGCCGTAATCGCTACAGTTTGCGTGACGAAATTTTCTGCATTAAACCGTTTTCTTTAACCGTCATCACCCTCAAGTCCATCATCATCATAACCATCATCATCTTCATCACCTTCTTCCTCCTCCTTTAACCTTCATCCTGAGTAACTGTGTGCTTGTTTTAAGCGTCATCTGTACACGACCCGTTATAATATCCCAAATATAATTCAGCTTCATTATCTGAGCTGTGCAGACGACGGTCACGTCAGTGTCTAAGAATCACTTTTCAAATTAATCCTGATATGACGAGATTTAAAATCCAGCCAGTTTAAAGATGTACAGTTCTTTTATTTTATTGTAGTAAAGAATTACAAGTTTCTGACTATACTTATGATTTTTATCACGTTGTTTTCTGAATTACAAAAATGTCAACATTCCTGTTGTAAAATCTGATTTATTATATTCTCATTATGGTTTTGGTTGCCTCTCAGACTTCGCTGCTCAGATTTTAAAAATAAAAATGAGGTTTTCAATAAATAAACAGTAAGTCAGATTTTTGTAAAGCTAAACTTAAAATTGGACTATCTCACCTCAAATTCAGAACTTTGATAAATTAACAGTATTTTCAGGATTGTGGAGTTTCATCTGAAATATTTAAAGGTTTCGCGACCTGATCGTCGTCTGCTCAAACATAAACTGTTCACTGATCTGACGTCTAACGGCGAATATCTTTCCGTGGTCTGCTGTAGTGTTTCAAAGTCTGACACGTGAAGAAGAGATGCTTTCGGTTCAGTACTCGTCCGTCTCAGGTATCAGCTTTAATCACTTTATGAAGTGTAATGACTGTTAACGTGCTGTGGACGTGTTTTTGTCTGAACTGCTCATCGGTGCGGCCCACACCCGTCTTCCTGTTTCCCCTGTTATCGTGTTTCGTTGTGTTTTTAGCAGCTTTGGATACTCGACGACCTGCAGCAGCTTTCACGTGTCAGTCGTTCTTTTTCTGAGTTTACATTTTTTTTCCTCACCAGAAGAGAAAAAACCTGTAGAAGAAACTGTTGAGTGGACTGAGGTCGAGGGCAGAGGAGAACTCCCTAAAGGTATAACTGCAAATGTTCTGGCTGTTCATAAAGCTCGGAGCTGAAATATAATGAGGCGCTGCCAATCAGCTGACTGTTATGTTTGTCTGCCCACTTAAATTCCACTTAAATGCTTCAAACACCAACTGCTGCTTACAGAAGCTGTTCTTCTCCTCAGGTGTTACTTCTATGATCCTGCATGTTACCTGTTTTTGTCATGTTTTTGTCTCATCTCTCTGCAGTTATTCTGTTCTTGCCTTCATGCTCTTATTAACCTTCACTGGAGCTTTCCATGCAGTAGATCTGGCAGAGTAGACGGTAGAGCTTGGCTGAAGTAGTTTTAATGTGACCTTTCTTGATCTTTCAAGTTCCTGAGATTCACAGGATGCCAGAGGAGAAACCCTCTGAGCCTGAAGCTCCGCCTCCACCTCTGGTCAAAGGTATCTACAAATGTCTGTTCTTTATATTCTTCTTCGTGTGGTGTTTGTCTTGTTGGTATGTCACATCTTTTCTTTTTTATTTCCATTCTTTATTTTTTTCCTAAATAAATAATAATAAAGAAACCTTGATGTTCAGTTTAATGTGGCGAGAAACTGAAATGAATGATGATGTTTTAAAGTACCTGAAGCAAAGAAGCTACAGCCTGAAGCCCCTGCTCCACCTCAGAGAGAGGAACGTCCAGCTCCAGAAGGTAATGTTCATGATGCAGTGAGTCACTAAAAATGTCTTATTTTATGTGCTTGTGGGTCTTTATTGGCTCACGTTCTCAACTGTTTATGTAAATGATGCGAATTACAAATCTTTACCAGAAAGCATCATACTTTTACACAAACTTCAGGAAATCTCATGATATATTATATTGAATACTTACACTATATTTAAAACTTTAGTCAGGTTTTTGTAGCACAAACTCACCAACTTTAGCATGAATATGAAATTCAAACTATTCACGATTATGCTCTCAAGATCTTTCAGATTTAATGAGTATTTTTTAGGCTTTTTTTGTCTTTTTAATTGTTGTCTGAAGTATTTTCTTGCTGTTCTTACAATGCGTAAATAGCATTGAGTTCTTGCTGTCAGGTTTTATGTGTCTCCTCTTTGCCCCAAGCTCTTACAACTCTGTGGTTCTTGTGTTAAATGATGGTAATATTTCTCTGTTAACCTTGAAGAACCAGTAGTCTTCACCCAACCTGAACCTTACCCACCCAAACCAGCAACACCAAAACTGGTTCATTCAGAACCTGAAGTGGAACCCGTGAAACCAGTGGTACCTAAGCCTGAAGTGGAACCCGTGAAACCAGTGGTACCTAAGCCTGAAGTGGAACCCGTGAAACC